TTAAGGGGTCACTGTAATACAGTAGTTGCCTTGTGTCAGCCAGGTGGGTACAGCACTTCAGTGGTGGATAATGGGTACGGCTGGAATCTAAAACACTCTGGACTGAAGAGAGTTATATAAACGCAAGAAATGATGAGTTGTCGATTTCAGGGATCATATCTACCTTTAAGGGTGACGTTGATTCCGGCGAGTCCGACGTGCAGTCCAACCTCCGCATCAACGGTGGCATTGCTGAAGGATTTGTAAGTTGTGTTGGTCTGAATGCTAGCCGCCGCCCAGTCGCTGGTGAAGTTCACAGCTATGAGACAGCAGAACACGCTCAGATCAATTCTCCATCAGCAGTTTGAACGCAGGAAAGAGTGGACAACCGAGCTCAACGGACTCATCCTGGAATTGGTTATAACTGATCCAAGAGCAACAAAGTTCTTTACTAAGGAACACAGTTTGGAATGAGTCACACTTTTCTTCACCGAAAAGAAGCCTTCGACGAGTATGTGACCGGAACGTGTTTCATAATTCGTCCACAAGGGGCCAGTATAGACAAAGTGTTCCGCTCTCTCACTGGGACGAAGGGGCACTAAATGCAGTTTAAACGAGGAAAAGCGTGTTTCGTTGTTCTCCAGGTGTTAACCGGGTGTGGAGAATGTACAGTAATACAGAAGGAATCTAATTACAATCAAAACAGCTTCAGACAATCAAGTTATACCATCAAAAGATCTGACATTCTAGAAAAGTTGATTTCTCTTAATGCCATGGATCGTACCGGTATACGATATTCCGTTTAGACAGAGATGATTTCTGAGAACACTTACCTACTATCACTACGCCTATGAACAGGCTGAAAGTAACTCGGAACATCCAGAACAGTCTCTACAAATAAGGACAAAAGATAAAATATAAAATATATTTCCAACAGTAAACAGGATGAATTTTAAGATGAGAAGGAAAGTTTTTTGGAGTTAAGTAAATCTATACTTCCACACCTATAAAAGTCGCATTCGCTCATCATCTTGCAAGTTATTGTAAAGATTCTGACAGGATTTATCGATGCAACAAAACGTAAAAGTAACTAAAAATCATCATTGTAAGATCTGAAGGTCCTTTTTATCGAGTACATCGTTAGTACACCCCCTCTTGATTCAATATCTTGTATACATCCAAAATAATAACTTGAAAAAATAAATACTTGATAATGAACGGATGAAGGAACCGGAGAGCTTTTTATGACGGTGTGACTGCATTACTTACCGGTCTGCCGCGGATGCCGGGAAGAATAATAAGGAAACTGCAGGCAAACACTAAAAACACCAAAATGACTATGAGCTCGTTGATGTTGAAGATAAAGGGCGTTCTATTTAGAGGGTAAAACGGGTAAATGTCATTGTAGAATGTCATCTTGCTTCGGATCTCCGGGCTCCCTGAAAATAAACGCAGAACAGTTAGAATAGTGTTAGTGGAGACATCTCAGTTACCAGATCTGGAGATAGGCTTCTCCTGCACAATTTTATGGAGTCCCCACTAAAGAGAGGCTTTTCAGAATAGCAAAAGCCGCCAAGAATCTCCTAAATCGTAAAGGCAAAACAAAGTTTGCACTTCATAATCTCCTTCACTTGCAGCTGCTCTCGTCGTGTGTTAAACTACACGTGGGATTAAAAAATAAGTTTTTGAGGCAGCAAAGGTCAAATGAATGCAGTGCGTTTTATTGTTTCTTATCTCGAAACGTTTCAAATTGGGCGCAGCTTGCTAAGATGTACCCATATGCTGGCGGATGAATGAAATGTCATTTAAAGACCTTCGGGGGTTTTAGGCTGCCGGGCTCATCCAAGTAAAGACCGCGCAAGTGAGGAGAAACCAGACCCGCGAGGACCCACAAGGGGCCCGGTGTAGGACAATTGAATTATCCTGCGGATCCATTAACGGCCAGGACGAGCCTGTTAATCGCGGTTTCACATCAAGGCGATGAGAGTCTGTCGCGCTTTTCTCCATTACTCTACAATACTGCGGCTGATCCTTTTCAACAGCACCAGGCCAGTGTGGGATGTAACGAAATGAACACAGTCGTCTTGACTTACTTCAATATTGGGAGTTTAATTGTTTATACAAAACACGATCCCTGCAGAGTTTTACTCCACGTAATACTGTAAGACGTTCAGGGCAGTGAAATAAGGACACGTTGGTTAACAGAAAAAAAAAGATGCAATCTCTACTATCTACACACTTAATAGAACAGTAAAAGTCTGGTGAAGTCTTGTGAAGTCTTGCTAGAAAGATTGAAGGAAAAAAAAACGTTACTTGATACTGTACACAGTGTGCCACCTCACCGAATCGCTCATTAAAAGCTCAAGTGGTAAAAAAAAAAGAAACAAAAAACTGTTTATTTTTTAATCTATAAAGGATAAAGGCAAAAATAAAATACTCACGCGACTTTTTGAATGATGCTCAATCTTGGAGAGGCAGGAACGGCGAGTGGTTCAGATGTCTCAGCTGTAAGAAGTGTTGTGCAAAATTGATGCGTCCCTTTTTATAGGCGAATGCGGGCCTCCTCTTCCTCCCCATGCATGATGCTATATTTACTTTGTATTGATGGGAAACATCTTGAAGGAAAGAAATATGTAAATGAGCACGGTCCATCCCACCCACTGTCCTCTCCCTGCCGAACACTTCGCGGCTCAGTCTGACGAAGTGCGGTTAGACAGACCTCTACTTTCTCCTCCTGGTACCCCGGCTGGCTCTTTAAAGCAGGGTATCGGTCCATTTGGAGGCTGGTACTAAGTGTCGACATTCTGCGGCCAAACAGGGTATACGATTTCAGCCTTTGCTCTGTTGAGGTTTAAGACAGAAGAGGCTACAGCTTCGCTACATTTTTTTTTATAACCTGGAGCAGCATAAGTACGCTAAGGTAGGTCATGATAATTGTGCCTCTTTTTGTGTGTTTCACTTCAACGTGTTGTAATCTCGCCAAGCATTAGTCTTGCATCTGCTCTCCTAAATTAAGGTAAGGTTCCGGTCCAGTGATAAAGGATCCGTGCGAAATCCCTGATGAGTGATAATCTGTGAATGTCTACATTTTGAAATAAATGTATACTTATGTCCCACCAGGGGGCTCCGAAGACCTTTACAAGTGTGAAACTGTAATCGTGGCTACACTTCTCGATGTCTTTGTATAATTCATTCTTCCCTTTTTACATTTTCTATCATTTTGTTTTTTCTTGGCGCGATCTTTTAGATCCTGCAGGTTCATTTTTTTTTATTGACACACGGCAAGCAAGAATACTGGGTTGAAAGCGACAGCTTTTGGCATTTTCAAAATAAGTGGTATTAAAAAAATAATGGAATTTTAGTCAGAATTGGAAGATATTTACCGATATTATTCAAATTCTTGGCCTTTCGTTCGGATTGTAGCTCATGACCGATTCTTTTTTTTCAGGTAAATCGCAAATACTTGAAAACTCACGGTATCAGCTTACCGTTACTTCCAGAAATCAGGCTCTTCTCAAGTCGAAACTAGTGTTTCTTTGAGCACCGTCCGGGTGTCGGGGGGACGGGGGACGGAGGTCTGTGGTGTAAAAAAAACAACGTTACAAGACATGCACAAAGAAAGAAAAGTTTGTTTTTTATTGTCGTTAAAAAACACCCATTCTTGATGAGAACTGTGGTTTCAATAACGGTATGCCGGGGGGGAAAAAACGTGCAGCCCGCCGGAACGTTAGAATTGAATATTAAAATGTTACCCTGTTCCTTTTGAAGGCTGAAATCACTTCAGACTAAAACTCAAGCCCACAGCGCAGATCATCCAGTGTATCAGCGCGTCGCGTCGCTCCTAGAGGACCTGCGCACTCGCCTCCAGCGGGCTGTGGAAGAGACTCTTGTCCGCTTCGTCAGAGTCGGACGCGCTCCGCTCGGCTGCTTCTCTCCAGGAATGGACCTGAGCCGGGCCCTGCAGTCCTGCTCCGTCGCTCTGCTGTCGCTTGCATCGCTCCTGGGCACAGCGGGTGAGCGTTCTGCACTTTCTCTGTTCTGACGTATTTAAACTGGACACACGCTGTTAAATGTACAGTATGTGAACAACCGAAGGCTAAGCAGCGCTGCTCGTGTGTTTAAAATAGTTTTTTTTTCAACCTGATATATAAAACCTCCGAATTTAATCGAAATCCCAAATTCACAGACTTTATGAATCCTGTTTCAAGCACAATAATTATTTCTTTTTCTTACAGTCTTCTGTTCCAGTTTTCTAATTTGTCTACAATATATCTAGTTTTGGTGCTTTGATACCAACATGCTTTAAAAAAAAACTGTGGGAAGACGATTCTGCTTTCAGGTTATAATTACTGAAAAGCAGCTAATTACGAAATGAAGCCGAAATCGCTTTCCATATCTGGAGTGTTTAGCCTCTGCAGAGCCTCGGGCGCATTTCACAGGTGTGGGTGACCACGAACACATACTCCCCGTCCCGCTGCCAGGCTCATCTAGCACGACTTCCGATTCAGAGCAATTACTTAACGTGCCAGTGCAAGGATCACTCGTGCGGGTTGCTAATTGTCAGGTATAAAGTAAGAAATGTAAGAAATCAATGACGTTTTAAATGATATTTAGATCTACGCGGCGCACAATTATTACAAGTAGATTCAAAAATATAATATTTACACCATGCCCAAAATCTCTGAGGGGGAGTGCATATTTGTCAGTTAGGATCTAGTGCAAACTCAACGCCTGCTGTTTAAAGGCCACCTGGAAATGTAGCGCGACCGAAAACTGTGCACTTTTCGGAAAGTTGCTTTGGGGCATCAGATCTTGTAGCCAACAGAGAGATGAAGGGGCGAAGATAACAATAATGTGAGCTCCCCAATGTTTCTCTGTCCGTGCAGGCTCCGAGTCCGCCGTCACCTGGGAGGTACAGCGCTACGATGGATGGTACAATAACCTAGCGGACCACAGCCGGGGCTCAGCGGGTAAGCCGGCAACCCCGGACCCTGGGCGGGGGAATGAAGGAGGCGCGTCGGTCTGGACATCGGCACATCTGCGCTGTCCACCCCCGGTCCTGCTGCACGGCAGCATCTTCTGACTCTCGTTCTACCCGAGCTCTTACTGTCTGTCATCTGTCATTTGCATTGATCAGGGGCCCTCAAATTTTTTTAACCTTTTAGCAGCTTTTCTTAGCTCTTCAGGCGATGCTTTTTAAATAGACCTAGTTAACCTACAGACAGACTTCTGGGTCAGGACTGGGGGGTCTCCTGACATCAGCGAATTGTTAATTCAGTAAAGAAAGTGAGGGTTTACAGCAGCTGAGAACCAGAACATCACTGTGGGTGTTATGGAATGAAGACACACCCTGCGGTTCATAGTTTTCGGAAATCACAATTTGTATTTGTATATCACCATCATCATCTTCATCACTTCTGGCTGCAGTCCTCCCTAAGAGTTTTCCACAAGCTTTCAGCATTCCTCATGCTTTCCACCCATACCAAATATATATATATAGACAGGAGAGAGAGAAAAAATAGCTTATCATAAACTTGTAATATGACAAAAGCGATAGCTGTCCCTTCGAAACCTGATCTCGTCAGGCCTGGGAAAGGTTCTCTAAGGAACACCAGGTTGCTGTTGTAATTGGTCCAGGTGCACCTGTAGGTGTTGCTCTTTCCTCCATGTATACAGTCTGGGGATGACTACTTGGTCATTAAAGTCTTACAATCTATTCGTAAGAGTAGAGGTATTTTCCTGGCTAAATTCCACTCCGGTGTTGCCCAGTCTGTCTTCCCTAAATTTTCCATTTTCCTGACCTGCTATGCAGTGGGAGTGCTGGTACATAACAGCTGCAGCAGGTCTCCCAGGTGAGTGACCCACTTCAGTGGAGGCTGAAGTGGGACTTCTCCTTGAATGTAAATTGTTTTAGGATCCTTTAAGATTAAAAGATCTATGCCGCTACAAGACATTCTGTTATTTTCCCAATCTGCTTCAGTTGATCTTTCATTATTTACCATTTCATTTGCTTTTGATATGTGTCAGTGTCGGTTGGCACGGTGGCACAGTAGTTCATATTGCTGCTTTGGAGCACTGGAGCCCTGAGTTCAATTCCTGGGGTGCTGTCTATGTGGAGTTTGCATGCTCATCTTCCATTAACCTGGGTTTCCTCCCACAGCCCAAAGACATGCTGGCGGGTTAATCTGCTTCTGGAATAATTGGCCCTGGTGTGAGAGTGTGTGCCGATGTGTGTACCCTGAGATGGACTGGTGTATCCTGTCTTGTGCCCACTGCTTCCTGGGACACGCTCCGGCTCCCCCGTGACTCCGAGTGGGATGAAGCGTTCGGAAACCGGATGGCCGTGTCGCTGTTTTTTTTGTGTGTCTGCAGTTCTTAGTTCCTGCCCCCAGGGAAACGCAGGCTGGGAGGAGTGACCGGTGTCTCGTTGTGTCCTCTCCACGCAGGTTCGCCCCTGATCCGCCCGGTGCCGGCCCGCTATGCAGACGGGGTGTACAAGCCCATCCAGGAGCCCGTTCTGCCCAATCCCCGCGACATCAGCAACACCGCCATGCGGGGTCCCTCCGGCGCCCCCTCCAGCCGGAACAGGACTGTCCTTTCCCTTTTCTTCGGTGAGACAGGCTTCCCCTCCTCCTCTGGAAAGTAAACGGGGGTCTCTTTGCTCTAGGCAGGAGGACCGGGACAGAGCTTCCTGTAGGGCTGCCATCGCTGCCCCATCCACTACCCCATCTCTGGATTTCTGGGAAGAGACCACACATGGCAGGGTGGAGCCCAGCCCAGTCTCTTGCAGTCCCTCCAGTAATGAAAGACTGCTTTACACCTTGGAGACCTTAACATGAAAGATACATCAATACCTCGAAAGGAAATTTCACATTTATTGACGATGCTCAGACCAAGTTAATTCATTTTTATTGGATATCCAATTATCCAATTATCACAACATGTTGAGAGATTTGCATGGTTACTGTCACCTTATATTTAAAATCTAGTTATGATACCATACTGTACTGTATTATTTACATCATGCAAAACGTATTAAATGCAAAAGGTAATTTTGATATTACAGTCCATGTCTTGTATTGTAAAGAAGTTTTTTCAGCTCTCGCAGTAACACTTGCTGTAAACATACGTGAGCTTGAGTGGCAGTAAAACAGTAAAAAGATCCTGCAGAAACCCCAGAGAGTTCACCCTGGCGTGTTGGTGTTCCAGGTTACCATGTGGTTTTTGAGATCCTGGATTCAAGGAGGCCCGGGTGTCCACCGGAATTCATGAACATCCCCATTCCCCTGGGGGACCCTGTGTTTGACCCCAACGGCACTGGGAATGTCCTGCTCCCCTTTCAGCGCAATCAGTGGGACAAGGAAACAGGCCAGAGTCCCAACAACCCGAGGACGCAGGTAAGGATCAGTGATTCCTGTCACCGGTTTGTCAGAAGTGTCCTAGGTGGGAGCAGGACCCCAGGTTATTCAGTGGTGAGGAGCTCTTCTGTATTATGGGAGCTGCCCCTCTTTAGTGTCCCTGTTTTCACAGCATGTCAGTAGCTGGTACACACATGCCAGTCTTCTGGTGTTGGTGTCTGCTCCTTTGTGGGCTTGGTGTTTTGTTGCAGTTCACATCACACCTTATTCGTTTTGCTACAGCTGCTTAGTTCTATTGATTTATTCATCCATATCTACTCAGGATTTTTCTTGTAGAGGACTTTTTAGGCAGATGAGCACTACTTTCTAGGCCAGGGAGAATTTGCGAGACATGACTTGTATATTTCAACTCACATTTTGTACATTTGTACAATATTTCTTACTAAAACATTGGGCATTAAAATCAACAAGCATTTTTAGGAATTTCCAGCGATAACGTTACTTCACAGAGGTGTGAGCTGTTTCACCAATGAACAATACAGTTTCAATCAGTGCCTTTTGACCTAATGGAGATGTAACAAAAGAACACCAAAATGCATGTTTTAATGCTGTTTATTTATTTAATTGTTATGCAAGGTAATTTAGTTTGAGCTTCCCAGAAGGAGAGAAAATCTAACACTACTTTTGTCAAAAGGTCACTGTATCCATATGGTTTTCAGGAGCTGGCTTTGGAATTATAAATTGCTCATTAAAAATCTCAAATAGATGTAAGAAATCTGTGTGTAAACCTGAAGAATGTTGCTTTGCCCGATGCATTGATAATCCTCCGGATTAAAATGCAGTGTTGTGTCAGTACAGATTTTTCAGGCTGTCTCTTTGTCGTTATATCGGCAGTTACACTATCCAATGCGCTGCAGGGCGCTGGTCTTTTCCTCTCTCCCGAGCTAACAGTGAGTCTCTGCTTTCTCCAGCTGAACCACGTGACCACCTGGATTGATGGCAGCTCCATATACGGCTCCTCCAGCTCCTGGTGTGATGCTCTGAGAAGCTTCTCTCGGGGCCAGCTGGCCTCTGGGCATTCGGGAGTCTTACCCAAGCAGAGCGCGGGGCAGTACTTCATGTGGAACTCTGTGGACCCATCAACAGGACAACACGGGCGCCAGGGGCTCTACGGTATAAATGATCCGTCTCTATCTGTCAGCGCTACGCTAATTATATTCTGACTCTGCGCATACCTGAGGCTACCCAGGGCCTCGAGTGACTCTCCATATTTTGCTCAGTAAGTGCGCGGGGTGTTTTCTTTCTCAATTGCTTTGTTTCTTTTTGCTGGAGAGCTGGATTGACCACAAGTGTGGGATGAGTCAGCGTAATCTCCCAGCTTTGATTTGCTGGGCGGAGATGGACTTTATTAAATATCCCTGGAAAGCAGCAGAGTGAGTGAGTCGCCCCGCCACCACACACTCATTCTGGCCGCCCCGCAGGAAGTTCAGAGTCTACACCTGGCGTCGTTTGCACTCCTTCTGAGGCTGGGTGAAACACAGGGGGCTTGTTGCAGGTGATGCCAAGCTTGAGAAATAGAGAAGGCTAGAAAAAGAGACAGAATTTAAAATGAGCTTTAAAAATCGTAAGATGGCATTTTTAAAAACACCCCTTTTATGTATACCTCTGAATCCTTGAATCTGTCTGAGTGAGTCTGTGTGTGCATTGCCCCTCATCCGGACACTTCCACTGCTTGTCTTCCGTTGCATGTGGAAGGGAGCTGCACAGAGACTGTCTGCAATAGGAGTGCCCTGTGTTCATGTGTTGCATGTGTTGGCTGTTTTATGACAGAGTTTGGCAATGCCTGGGGCAATGAAAATATCTTCACCATGGCAGAGGGAGTTATATGGTTCAGATACCACAACCATCTGGCCGCCAAACTATGGGAGGAGCATCCGCTGTGGTCAGATGAAGAACTGTTTCAAAACTCCCGAAAAAGGGTCATTGCCACTTTCCAGGTACACAGCCCTTTTTCATCCCTTAATCGCGTAATTTGTAGGTTTTAATTGCATTGGCCACAGCTGCAGGAACAAAGAGGCAAATTAAAGATACAGTATATATCTTGAAGAATAAATGCACCTCTCGCGGTGCAGGTGACATCAGCTCGTGTCATTGGACCACTGTCGTTAGGTCTCCTTCTGTCACTGCCTGGGCACGTGGTGATACTTTCAGTAACAGTTCACCACTCAGTCTGTGCTTTCACTACTCTCACATTAGAGCAAACCTTTAGCCGACAGTGCAAAAACTTCCAAGACATTTTAGATGTGCTTGTCCAGGATCCTCTGTTGGGACCATTCTAATTCCAGGATCGAATGGTGAATCAGGCAGTAAGTCGGGGTGTTGCCCTGTGCTGGGATTTCTCCCATTCCTGGATCAATAATCCCAGCGGCAGCTCGTTTCTGGGGCCGCATGGCCTAGTCTGTGAACGTGCACAGCCCAGAAAGCCATTCTGGCTGCTCCAGTTGCCCCGTTGCACCAGCATACCCCATTCAGCCAGCTGTCAATGCCCAGTGGGAAAACCACTGCAGGCCTGGGAGCAGTGCCACCCCAGGGTGTCATCCAGCCAGAGACCCAGATCCGAGCAGGTATGTCAACCTGTTAATCTCTCCAGGCAGTCCGATCTTCAACGCCCTGCAGCTGTGTGCAGTACAAGACAATCTCGGCCTTGTGACGTGTGGCGCCTGCCCCCTGCGGTTACTGGTTCTAGGCAGGTTTGCCAGACCGAGTGTAAGGCGATTTCCCAACACGTGCCTAAATTGCTTAATAATTGCAAGTCTGCATTGTTTGCAAAGGTGTTGATAAGATCTGAATGGCTGTTAATTCGGCTGCTGAAAGCAGTGGCCTCACCTCCTTTACAAATATTACCAACAAAACGTCACTCCGTGTCGGAGGCTCTTTATGAGCATCTGTGTCAAATGTTTTGATTTAACCTTTGCCCCAGTATCTGAACAAATGGAGTTCTCAGCTTTATCATTTTGTTATTTGCTCTGTGCTTCAGGATTGTTTGATAAATATGTGTCCTGTTTTCTTTTTCTTAGAACATCATGTTCTATGAGTGGCTGCCAGCTTATTTGGGGAATGTGACTGTTCCACCCTATCCAGGTAAGACCACATTGGCCATGACTCAGGGATCTTTCCTGGGACTGGTAACGGGCTGCAGTGCATGTCTGTGAGAATGTGAGAAAGATAGAGAGTATAGGAATGTAAACAGCAGTATGTTAAGTGTTACAGTCTAGTATGATATAATAAAAATAAATATGTATGAACACTATTTTAATTGCCATCTTGATTTAAAAAAAATGTTATTCACCCCAAAACGAAAAAAGTGGTCATTTATAATAAGTGAATAATGCTCTGAAAGTGCAAACCTTTAAGTTAATTAGTTAATTTTAATTAATTGACCTAACGGTGAAATTACTTTAATATGAAATTAAGCCAACTTGTGGTTTATTGCCACATTGGGAAATTTAAGTGTACGTTTTGTGTGGATTAGGGAAGGGGCCTATGGCACAGATACAGCAGTAACAAGTTAAGATGTGACGCTACTTTTGCACTAATTTCTGTGTTATTTTCAGGCTACCAGAAGTATGTAGATCCCGGGATCACTCCGGAGTTCCAGGCAGCGGCAATGAGGTTTGGCGTTACTATGATGCCCCCTGGGGTTTATATGAGGTATTACAAGCAGTAATTTTTTATTCAATGTTTTTAATGTGCCAAAATAAAATTGTACTGCATTTGAAAATTCCGATTTTTAATTCGTTTTACAACCGTAGACCGTACAACCTTTTAATAACGGGATAATATAAGGTCTTAAAACCTGTGAAACACTAACGTCTAACCTTAACTTAAAATGGCCTTCTGCCAAATTCTGAAGATCCACCTTGTGTCTTCTGTCTTTAAGGAACAGGACATGTCACTTCCGGGAAATCATCAACATCGATGGCAGCACTTCCCCGGCCCTTCGGGTCTGCAATAGCTACTGGAATAGACAGGTGATCCGCCAGCCGCCCCTTGAAACCTCTTCAGGCACGAGCAGGGGTATCTGAGGGCTGGATCCCCAGATCAGACCCCAGATGATTAAAGGAAACACTGGGCCACGCTTTCCTCCAGCAGTATCGCCACTGTAGGTTTTGGAGGCATTGCACAAGGAAGTGGTGTTTCCCCCCTTTGGGGTAATTGCTCGTGCGTGCACAGTATTGTCGTCATTTCTGGTCTCTTGCGAGGCTGTAAAAGGTGACCTCATGAGACTTTAGCCCCTCTGCGGTATTTTTTTTTGTGCTGGTTATAAACCTTTTGGTTTAGCACACTGAGATGATGCAAGTGTAATTCCCTGAGACAGCGTGACAGGGATTTATTGCAGCCGAGCTCTGCATCACGTTTGCATGTGTACATTTATAGGTATGATGACATCTAAACACGTATTTCACGTCGCTACACTTTCGTACCCCTCTCCTGGCGAAACACTGTGAAAGGAACTACTTTCTTTTTTGCGAAAAAGTAACAATGGATGACTCCTGTTGCCTCTTCTCTCTCTTGTTAAAAAACAAGCGAGGTCCTTTATCTAGACAGATGTTTGCACAGCATGTTGCAGCAGTCTGCTTTTTTTGCCCCAGAATCCGAACCTGCAGCGGGGTGTGGATGTGGATGACCTGGTGCTGGGCATGGCCTCTCAGATTGCAGAGAAGGAAGACAACGTTGTGGTGGAGGATCTCCTAGGTATCTCCTATCTTAATGCTTCTTGGGTCTCCGGCAGTGTGAGCGGTGTCATCAGTGATTAAACAAGCCTGTGTTTTTAACCTTCCCCCCCAGCTCCATAGATAACACAAAGCATTCGGAAAGCCAGTGAGCAGATGAGTTTTTTATAGGATTGGGCAACTGACTATTACTGTTAAATCATAATACAAACAAAACACGCTAAGACTGACTGTTGGCCATTATTGCATCATTAATGCCTTTAATGACACAGTAGGTGCAGCTGCAGACAGCTAGGAAGCTTAGGGAACAAAGTTTGTGGCAAACTGGTTCTAGATATTCTTTGATTCTGGCAGTAGGTGACAAATTGCATTTCTTTGGATTAAATGTTCTCTGATTCACTGGGTGCACTAGAGTGTGTTGTTCCAAGATAATTTTTTTTAATTATCTATATATATATATCAATATATAATATGTTGATTATTTCTAGGCATTAAAATATAATTCATTATTGTTATTTGCAGCACTAGACAGTGCCTGGACTGGATAATAACCTTTAGAGAAGCCACCCAACGCAAAGAAATTTGATCCCTTGCTTGAACTGCAGTTGTATCTATTGTCCCTGAAGAAGCATTCATGTAATACATTTAGTAATAACTTGACATTTGCTTATCTATTTAAGTAAATGTGCTCTAAGTGAAGATAAGTAGTTTGGAATATCCAGTTTCTCCTATATAGTTTAAACATACTTATACTGTATACTGTATATGAAAACATGGGTGTGTGAAACCTGAACTGCATCAGCGATGCAATGTGACAAATTTATTTTTTGTTTTTTATGCAATGTGGTATCTTGGTAGAAGGCAGAGGCCTCTTTTATAGGGAAGGCAGTGAGACCCCAGAGTTTTGACTCTTTTTTTTTTGGTCCGCTGTTACCCTGTTACACTTTGAAAACTTTGTTCTGAATGTTGGGAAAACGTCTTTGTCTCAGATTACATGTACGGCCCGATGAAGTTTTCCCGGTCCGACCTGGTGGCCCTGACCATCCAGAGGGGCAGAGATAACGGCCTGCCCAGCTACAACACAGCCAGAGCAGCGTTCGGCCTGAAGCCCGTCCTCAGCTGGGAGGACATCAACCCCGAGCTGTTCAAAGCCAAACCACAGGTGAGCTGGCCGTGCTGCGTGCTGAAGGAAAGTCACTGCAGGAGGTCGTTCTCGCTCGTGGGATTCCAAAGAGATTCATTTCCCATCCAGATTCTTACCTCGGGTGAATAACCTCTGTGCAAAATAACGGTTCCCACTTTTCATCTTGAGCTTAACTGCTAAATTTCCAAATTTGCCGTCCCTTTTTTTTAAAAACAAAAGAAGACCCTTAACGAGCAGACAAGAAGCCTCACCATTACTGCAGGTTCTCCCCTGTATGACGCTACCTTTGATTTTCCAGTGTATAACTGCTGTGAATCTTCTGTTTGATAATGCCGGACAGCTGTATTGCTCTACAAGGCATAACTCCAGAGGGGGTGATCCACTCCCAGACCAGCTTTGCCCTGGAAATGGTCTGTTTACTGTAGCACTTGCGCTGAGCCGTCCTCCCAAGGTTAAAATCAAAGCTGCCCAGCCTGGAGTACTGAGAACGTAGCATCTGCTCAAGTTTCGCTTCCTCATCAGCTCTTCCGAGACCTTGCTGATCTCTACGGAAACGACACATCCAAGTTGGAGATGTTCCCCGGAGGCCTCCTGGAATCTGCCGGGGATCCAGGAGAGCTGTTCAGCGCCATCGTCCTGGACCAGTTTGAGCGCATCCGGAATGGAGACCGCTTCTGGTTTGAAAACAAGCACAATGGGTGAATGGGGGTTTTGTTTGGAACTATGGAGATGGGGGGAGGGTTTATGTCAGGTTGATCCGGTGATCTTCGCACCATTGCATACAAACACTATCCCAGGGAGCCGTGATTATTACTGAAAAAAAGAAAGGCTAAGATTCTCAGAGTGCCGTGCCTGTCACACCTTTGTCAGTCAACCAGTGAAACACTGCTCCTGTGTTATCATTGGTAACTGGTTTCATTCCGATTTGGCTTTTTTGCACAATTTGTATATCAGTGGTGAGCATTGCTGCCTCGCAGCACCAGGGCTTTGAGGTCAGTTCCAGACCTGGGGTGCTGTCTATTTGGAGCTTGTATGTCCTCCCTGTGTTCACGTGCGTCTCGTCTGGGTGCTCCAGTTTCCTCGCACAGTCCAGAGACGTGCCGGTAAGTTAATTGGCTTCTGGGAAAACTGGCCTTCATGTGAGTGTCCGTGTGTCTGTGTCTGAGTGTCTGCCCTGCGATGGACTGGTGTCCTGTCCAGGGTGTACCCTGCCTTACTCCCGTTGCTTGCTGGGATAGGCTTCAGCTCCCCCGCGACCCTGAATGGTTTAAAGGTTACAAGATGGATGGATGGAAGGTTTTGTAAATCCACGTTCTTGCTTACTTCCACCATGCTTTGCAGATTGTTCTCAGCTGAAGAGATCCAGGCAATCCGCAACACTACGTTCCACGACGTGCTGCTTGAGGTGACAAACGCCGAGGTGGGAGACATCCAGAAAAATGTCTTCTTCTGGGAGAATGGTAAGGATCTGGACAGTCTGACTTAAAGGAATTTCATTCTTATTAAAACATCATCCAACCCACTGTATGTCTCTAAAGGTTTTGTTCCAGTGTAGAACCTGCAAGATTCATTTTTAACAGGAAAGTTTATCTTCGCTGGATACTAGACACTGATTTTAAATATCAGTGCATCACTGTGTTGGTATTGTGCTTTTCGTATGAAATGAGAGTTCTCCCTTAATCTGCGGATCACCAAGCCTATCAAGAGCGTTGCATCTATGTCTGTTCTGTTTGAAACCAAGGTCGTCTCTGTTTATTAATTGGCATTTTGATGCCTTATTTTTTTTCTAGGTGACCCCTGTCCTCAGCCCAGGCAAATAACAGCTGACATCCTGACACCCTGTACCAAAGCAACTATTTACAACTACTTTGAAGGCAGTCAGGCTGGGTTTGGAATTGTCATTGCAGTCCTCTTCTGCTTCCCATTAGGTGTGTACCAGTCTGCTCTCGCCGGCTCCTGCTGGCCATCTTAAACAGTCTGGTGAAATCTCCTCGCCGGCACTCTTAAATGAGTGGAGATCTCTACACATCTTCAGATGCTCTTAAATGTTTTTTTTGCAAATTGCAAAAAAATCGATTTTCATTTTAGTAGTAGCAGGTAGGGGCGGCACAGTGGCATTGCTACCTCACTGCGCTGGGGGCCTGGATTTGATTCCGGAGGGGTTGTGTGTGTGGAGTTTGTATGTTCTCCAGGTGTTCAGGTGGGTTTCCTCTGAGCGCTTCAGCTTCCTCCCACGGCCACAAGACATACTGTTAAGTAAATTGGCTTCTGGGAAATGCGTGTGTAGTTGTGTCTGTGTGGCATGTGATGGACTTGTGTGTCGTCCAGGCTGTACCCGGCCTTGTGCCTGTTGCTTGCTGGGATATTCCCCTGCTCCCCGTGACTCTATATTGATTAATGTAGTTAGAAAATGGATGAATGGATAATAGTCAGTAACCATACCTGCTACAAAATGTAGACAATTATATCGTAGTCGAAGTATGATCATAGTACAGTACAAAGGGTATTTCGGAGAATTGTGAACAGGTAAACAAACAGGTAAAGCAGGTGAGGACAAGCCAAAGAAATTGAAGTATCTGAGTTTTAACAAGGATTGAGTGTCTTGTATGATATGTCACACATCCCAGTTTGTCTTAAAGGATGTTTGTTTTAAAAAAATGGATGGAATTTCATCTTTTTATGGTCTCTGCAGGGAGCTTCCTCCTTGCCTGCACTGTGGCCTACTTCCGCAAGTCCAAGTTCAAGAAGTTCCAGAAGAAACGCCAGCCCGTGGCGAAGAGTGTAGAGCTCGGCGAGGGAATTAAAGGTAATTTAAATTTGTAATTTAAAGGTAACAGGAGGGATGCAGCATGTAGCTTAACATGGCCTCCTGACAGCAGCAGCTCCCTGTCACCAGTGTGATCCACCAGTTAAGTCATTGATTTAAGACAGGGGAGTTTCAGAATAAACACTTATCCCCTGCAAAGGGAAAACATTTGTGTTTTGTCTGGGGTAATTTCATAATCCCTGGTGCTATTTCAGCAGTTGACTTAATTTTTATTTGAATTAATCCAGCTCTCTGGTACAGTGTTACATTTCTGGGGAGAAAGGGGAGACAAATTAGGACTGAGGTGTAGGGCAGAAATTTCCATGAGGAAACGCCATCTTCCTGCAGCCCAGACACATGCAGTAGAATTCTTCAGAAGGTTTCAGATGGCCAGTTGGCACAGATCTTTATCAAGCAAGCTGCTTTCCTTTATTACTGCGATAGTAATTTCCCATCAGTACTAGCATTAATGACTACCTTACTGAAATTGACAGCCAACAAATAAAAGCATTATCAAAACTGATTATTTTGATAATCAATCTGGGAGGTGTTCCTGGCTCATTGTGACGCTGAAGATTAGGACTGAGTCTGCAATATCAGAATGACATCTAAAACTGGGTCAAAGCTCACACTTGTAAGATGTCAGGAGATATTTCCAGCCAAACCGGAGACTGTCACTTGAGGTGTGCGTCAAGTTAGCAGGTGAAAGTCCGGTGCATATCCTTAAGATGATAAAAATAATTTTTTCAAAACTTTCAAACATTGCAAACATCCTGGTTATCCAACCAACTTGTTTTTTTAAGTTTTAATACAGTAGTTACAGTAGTCATAAAGTAGTGTCTGTTTTTTCTCTTTTTTTTTACAAGCGTTGCTTCATTTTCTTTAGTGAAATGTATCTAAATGTTTTTGGCTGAGCAGGTTTTAAAGCTGATGACTTTACAGTTAAGCATGCTGGGATTGCTAAGCAGCACCTTGACTGCACAAAGGAATAACGTCCCACGGTGCTCTGGTCCTCTTCAAGAGCCAGAAGACTGCTGGGAAGGCGATCTCTGTTTCAGAGCTTTATTCCTGTGTCTCTGCCCCAGCTGTGTTAAGTCATGTCTCAAGTGACATTTATAAGTCAGTCTGAATGTCCCTCAATCTTTTGTGTTTACAGCCTCTGAGTGGCAAAGCCTCAGCCAGCCACTCCGCCTGGTCTCGATCAGACTGGACACTGCCAAGTGTATCAAGGTGTTTGACACCAGGCCTTCCCCAGTCCGGGTCCTCAACTTCAACACCGAAACGCACGTGGACATCATCCACTCCAATAACAGGCAGTGTAGGGCCCTGCTGCTCAAGAACCCCAAGGAATATGACCTGGTGAGGGGAACCTGTGCAGACTGTCTGCCTGTTACCCAGCAGGAACCTGACTGAGCACCCGGCACGATCTCGAGAGTTTCACTGCTGTCAGGCCTTGAGGGCCAAGTTCTAGTAGGGTTTGTAGGTTTCTCTGGAACATAGGCAGTTCGAATCCTAGTAGAAGTACTAAATTAATTCAGTTAAGAAAATAGGTGATTAAGAACTGTGAAATAAAAGTCAGGTGACAATGAGGTTCCATAGTGAATGTGTGCCTTAGGTTTGGGTGCTTCTACCAGACTTGCAGTATGTCTATTAGGCAGAGCTAAACAAAATCTCAACCTCTTCTCTGCTCTTAGACTTCTCAATCAGCAGTGGCATTTTTTTGCCTTGCCCCCTTTTTTTTACTGCGTTTTGTCCCATTTCCCTAAGAGATAATTTTTGGGGTTGCAGGTGCTGTTCTTTGATGACGAAAGTCAGCGGACGGACTTCGTCGGGAAACTTCACACGTTCCTGCAGCAGAGCCAGCTGGGGCTGAATGTGACGGAGATGAGAGAGCAGGACCTGCTGAGGCAGGCCGTCACAAAACAGCAGAGAGACCAAATCCTGGATGTCTTCTTCAGGCATGCTTTTGCACGGGTAATTAACTGAGTTATCAAGAGCTTAGCTACACCCGGAAAGACTCCACATCAAAATGTATGTAAATAAAGTGAAGAAATAAAGTGTCCCTTTCTGGGCTTGTCATGCATGTGGCCACAGCGTGTTTCTCCTTCCAGATACTGGACATCGAGAAATCAGACGCAGGGGACTTAAGTTCGGTTTCTTCACGGAAGACAAGGGAGGCACTTCAGTGTGAACTCACTGCGGCAGAGTTTGCGGAGGCTCTCGGACTGAAGCCAGACTCCCTGTTTGTGGACTCGATCTTTTCACTTGCTGACAAAGATGGCAATGGATACTTGTCCTTCCAGGAGTTTCTGGATGTTTTCGTCATCTTCATGAAAGGTAATTCATTCCCTGCAGGACTGGGTCTCTGGGACCAGACATCAGGGGAGGCCAGTGCTGACCTTAACTAAGCAGCTTGAATCCACTGACTTCCTGAAAGAAAAGCCTGCACAGTGCAGTCCTGGCAGCAGTCCGATTTAAACTTCAAGTGCTTTTAACGACGTGAACCAAATGGTAGACACATCTGAGATGTATAGGAACAGACGCAACGTACAGGGTGTTGTTGTGGAAAGTGTGGTAGTTGTGTTGTGTGTGTTGTGTTGGTAGCACTTTTGTTTTTCTTGGGCAGGTACATCCGAAGAAAAGTCAAAGCTCATGTTCACCATGCATGATGTTGATGGAAATGGATTTCTCTCAAAAGAGGAATTTTCTAGGTTGCTGAGGTGGGTCTAGGGCATTTATACAATAAAACTTAAATCGGACTTAAAGATATTTCAACAACTTAACAACTTCAGTGCAATGTGCAATGCAAATGGTCGATGCAGATTCTTTTATTTCCTTCTTGTTCAAAGCTTTGGCGTTGTTTTTTGTGGACTGGCTCACCTGGTTTTTGCTTGAGTAATACAGCTCTTAACTATTCTGCTCCCCTTAGATCTTTCATTGAAATATCCAACAACTGCCTGTCCAAGACTCAGACCCAGGAAGTCATCGACTACATGTTCCAGGAAGCTGGCTTTTCCAACAAGGAGGAGATCACCTGGGAAGACTTCCACTTCCTGCTCCGCGATCACGAGAAGGAGCTGCAGTTCGCCCAGCTCAATGTGAAAGGTGAACCAGCAGGAGAGACGCTCTGAGTCTGCTTGCAGACTGCTGTAACTGTTCCCGAAACCGTGGTTATCACGCTAGATCCTGGGAAGAGACCTTTCTTTAATGGTGTGGCTGGGGTGGCCATTGGTTACTCATAAGGTCTCTTGCTTTCAGTAACTACCCTTGCTGAAATACAGCACTGTTTGCCTCAGATGAAGACTGGTATTTAACAGCCGTCTATATTACCAGTAGTTAGGAGGATTTATCTTGTGCAATAAGAGAGAATGCTTTGCTTTTTGCAGGGATCGAGCTACGTGACAGGAATAGGCAGAACAAATACAGCCGAGTGTCCTTTCTCAGTAAAAACACAAGCAGGTAAGTTCTTCTATTTGTCAGCCTACAACATTTAGAAGCGTAGACACATTTGTTGCTATATATCTATGGGGAAAGAAGACAATGTTTTCAGAAAATTGTTTGTGCTTTACAAAGTATTTCTTTAGGATATTTTGTTTATTTTTACAGTCCTTAAGCTTTAGATTTTTTATGCTAAGAAATGTGACCAAGAAAATGGTTCTGCTCAGTATGGAACATGTTAGTGTCCTCATGGATTCTTGATCTTGGTCTCTGCAGCACCACTGGCACAGAGGGTACCATCAGTGATGTGGAGAGAACGGGGCAAGATCTACGAAAAAGAGCAGGAAAGAAGTAAATACCAGCCTTCCATTTTCTCTTTCATGGCTTGCAGTGGCTGAACCGTTAGCAATCCACGTTTTATTGATACTATAAAATCTAACCATGAGAAATAAACTGAACAGAGTTCTTGCCAAAAGCTATTTTCGATATCATTCTTGTGTATTATTTAAAGTTATTATTTTATTATCTTGTACAGTATGTTATTAAATGCGTAATTGTGATAAATAATGGAATTTCCCACAAAATCAAGCGCATCAATTTACTGTTTACTAGTTTACTCATTAATCAAATACAGAGCACTAAAAGGTATTTGAATTTAAGTGCTTTTTCCACATGCAATTACGTGTCAGGCTTCTCTCTGTTTTGGGAAATAGCAAATCTGTTTTTCTTTGGCTTGTGGTATAGCATCATGGCCTATAGCATCTGAATCATGCTATAGGAATGATTTGCCAATCTGTAGAGTTAGTGACATCATGCTTTAAACATACTGATTATCTGCAAAAAGCTCTGACTGTTTTAACTTTGTATTTAAAAATAAATCCTGACAATCGATTATTTATTTGACATTTGTGTGGTTTTAGGCTTTGCTTCCACTTTCTTTTAGGCATTTCTCTGGACAAAAGCACTGCTTTTCCAGAGGTGATGGGCAGAATAAGTTCTAAATCTGCTTTTAAAATGTCAATACATTTCTATTATTCATGCTTTCACTCACAGACTCCTATATGTATCTAGGTTTCACTTTACTTGTATCCTGATCCTGTTAGATCAGTCAGTGTCTTTGTTTTAGAGGGTTTATTAGGAACGAAATACTAATACTCCCAGCCGTGTTTATTTAAGGACAGGTAAAGCTTGACTGCCATTAAACTATAGTTACTACAGGTAAGATGGCAGTGGCAGACATAAGTGAAATCATGTCTGGGAGTCCGTAATTCAATTTTCTATTCTGAGGTAATGGCATGTAGTTCTTTCCTGTGCTAGTCTGAAATTTGCAAGTGTAATATAAACAATCTAAATTTGATTTCGCAGAATGCAAGATTTTCTTAAAAAAAAAAACGCCAGAATATTCTGTTTGGTGGCAGCACTTTGGGACAGTGGTTAGCACTGCTGCCTCACAGGACTTTGGTCCTGGGTTCACTATCTGGGTTGCTTGATGCTTGCAGTTTGTATGTTCTCCCTGTGTTCCCCCCCCACAGTCCAAACACATGCTGGTAGGTTAATTGGCTTCTGGGAAAATTGGCCTTGGTGTGGGTGTGTCGATGTCCCCAGGATGGACTGGTATCCCATCCGGGGTGTACTCTGCCTTGCACCTGTTACTTGCTGGGATAGACTCGAGCTCAACTGTGACCCTGAATTGGATGAAGCAAATGAAAAAAAAAGGCTTACTTTAGCCGGGTTGCTCAACATCACATCCATAGTCAAACTTTTTGGTATTTCGAACCCTTCCACTCTCTGGCTCCAGATCAGAATCTGTGCTCCTCATTACTTAAAATCTCTTTCTCATACTTTTGCTCCTCAGGTCTCATCAGTACAGTCCTCATGTCTACGCTGAGGCCACAAGGCAGAAGTACAACAGGAGCAAAATCCAGCAGAAGATCCAGCAGTTCAAGCGCTTCATTGAGAACTATCGCCGTCACATCGTGTGCTTTGTGATTTTTTACAGCATCTCAGCAGGAGTCCTTGTGGAGCGGTGCTACTGTGAGTACTGTTTCCTTTTTTTCAAGTTGCGACAGAAAAAAAATACCAAGAGGCTAAAAAAGTGATGACAATCGGCCTCGAAACTTTTAGAAATGAAAAATGAATGTCCTTAGGTCTTCCTTTTGCATCCTTTTTTTTTAAAACTGAATTTTTATTACAATCCCACAAGTTAGAGAAGGTTTCCAGATTGCATTTCAGAATTACCAGAGAGATTTCACAGGATTGGGCTTTAGTGGTCTGGCGAGTCAGAGTTGTGCTGGATAGCTAATGTATTAAAACTCCCAGTTCTGTTTCTAGACTATGGATTCCAGGCGGATACTACAGGCATCCCAGAAACCACCATGGTCGGGATCTTGGTTTCTCGGGGAACGGCGGCCAGCATCTCCTTCATGTACTCCTACCTGCTGCTCACCATGTGCCGCAACTTCATCACGCTTCTGCGCGAGACCTTCCTCAACCGCTACATCCCCTTCGACGCCGCTGTGGACTTCCACCGCTGGGTGGCCATGTCTGCCATCATCCTCGCCAGTAAGACGTGCACTCCGGCGTCTCTCTGTCGACCGGATCAAGGGGGAGACTGAGTAGCTCGTCTGGTAAAAGAAGGGCAGGGCCTGAACCCAACTTGGAGGTTGCTGGTTCAAATCCGGGTTATGTCCCCCTGCTTACTTAATTTAACTAGCCCAGGTCACATCATACTAGTGGCCTGGCTGGCTTCCTGCTGGGTAACATGGCCACATTAACAAACTGGTGCTTCTTGTGTCTCTGCTGCTCCTGGTTTTGCGGTGAGTGCCTCAGGTCTGTGATATTGGCCTCAGCCCTGACTCTCCGATTCTCTGCCTTGCTCCCCCTCTTCCAGTTATCCACAGTCTGGGCCACATCGTCAATGTGTACATCTTCTCCGTGAGCTCCCTTAGCATTCTGGCCTGCATGTTCCCCAAGGTCTTCTTCAACGATGGGTAAGTTATTCCTACTTTTGTTGGAAGGAAATATCAGGAGAGAAAAGCTCTCCTGTTTGTTGTCGAGGATTGAAAGAACAGGCAACGTGCATTGCAGACCAGAGAGCTCAGTTGCCCCTTTGTGTTTGGGTATAGGTTTACAAACGCTATGCTCTCCAGCACGTGTAGCATTGTTTGGAAAATGTAAACTATGAATGAAGATGGGAGTGAAGGTGGTTTATCTGTTAAAAGAATACCTCATAGCAGCAACTTACAGACATTCACGATTCCAATATTCTTATTTTTTTATTTAATAGCTTATTGAACTACATAAGTGAATGCAGCTCTATTTTGCCAGACCGTCAAGACCTTTACTGGAGCCAAGTTGCGAAGTGCCTTACTGAGGGGCACAAAAGCATCGGTAGATCCCAGTCAGGAATGCAGATCCAGAGGCCAGTCCAGAGCAGAACTGTCTAGATGCAGTCCTACTCTAGATTAGGGCTGGCAGATATACAGATATACAGTGGCAGAACCCATTGAACTGTAACATGCTCTGTCTTTTGAATTTTAGGTCAGAGATGCCCATGAAATACTACTGGTGGTTCTTTGAAACAGTTCCAGGTAGGCGCACCTTGTCTTTAAGCAGGTGCAATGAATTATAGTATTTTCCTGCTTCACCAGCCATTGTTGGTCAAGCCACACCGAGTCGTGTTTTAAAAAGGGAAGTACAGCTTGATCAGAAAAATGGCCTGAATATTTTCGGAATGCTCACCGTGGCAGGTTTGCAATATTAAAAGCCTTTTTTAAAGCATAGAAGTGAATGTTTTGGGGTGGCACAGCGGCGCAGTGGTTAGTATTGCTCCCTCAGAGTGCTGGGACCCCAAGTTAAATTGTGGCCTGGGGTGCTGTCTGTGTGGAGTTAATATGTTCTCCTCATGTTCGTGTGGGTTTCCCCCCAAAGCGAAAAAAACATACCAGCTTGTTGATTGGCTTCTGGGAAAACTGGCCCTGGTGCAAGTGTGTGCATGTCAGTGGCTGCTGTCTGCCCAGTGATGGACTGGCGTACCTCCCAGGGGGTACCCTGCCCCGCTCCTGTTGCTTGCTGGGATAGGCTCCGGCTCCCCATCTCCCCTGAATTGGGAGAGCCGGTTAGAAAATGAATGGATGGAAGTGCATTTTCTTCCAATGTTGTGTAATGGTCTTCGAGCAGCGACATAAGGGAAGTCTCCCTGCAAGGCCGGGCTGGGAGTTGTCGTTGGCATTCCCTGCACTGTCGGTGTGTTTCAGGGACCACAGGCGTGCTGCTGCTCCTGGTCCTGGCCATCATGTACGTCTTCGCTTCGCACAACTTCCGCAAGACCAGCTTCCGGGGATTCTGGATCACCCACAGCCTCTACGTCATCATGTACACCCTGGTAAGGAGCTGCCACTTCTCACACTGCTGGCTGGAGGTCGCGCACTGCGGCGCAGATCACTTTGCTCAGACATCCTCATTCAAAATCGGCACCTCCTACTCCAAGGCAAAGTGCGAATGAAAGTCAGAGTGCAACCACTGCAGTAACATTAAGCTCAGGTTTCTGGGAAATAACAATTTCACCGTTTGAGCATTTCACTTACTTTTTAGTCCCAGGTGGGAAATCTGCTCCGCAGGCACGTGAAGATATAGCATATTACACAATATCACACAGTGCATTTAGCAGATGCCTGATGAGGAAGAAAATATGTTTAGATAAAGATTTTGTCACCATTTTACCACAAACATTTGTCTGTAAGCATTTAAATGCAATTGTAATTCTGACGTAAGCAGGTCATGGTCAAGACTGCATGCCCAAACTTTTTATGTAGTCAGCACCAGAAGAAACCTCTTCTCTTATAACTCAAATTCAAACAACAAATTCAATAAGTTAAAACAGAAAAAGGACAATCTTTTTATGAATAGGGCGCACAGTGAATTATTTGATTGGATAAGACACAGAAAAATTCATTATTGTGATTAGCATATGTCATCAAGAGTGTTGATCAACAGGGGAAGTGTTGTGGAAGTCACAGGCAAGAAGTCTTTATGGCCACCATTGCAAACCAGCAAGCTGCACACCTGCTTTCACACCTGGTTGCAGATGCTTGTCTTGTGGGATTCTGTCCCACTTCTCTCACAAAGACTGGACAAGCACGTGCCTGTTCACTGGTCTCTGAGCCATAGATGCCACACTTTGTCCCAGCTCATCTGGGAGGCTTGAGCTCCACTCGTTGCTCAGTTCCACCCATAGTCCATGCCACACTCAGTGATGTCCATGAGGGTAGCCAACACAAAACCTTGATTCATCGCTCAAGATTTGACTCCACTGGCAATGAGTCCACATGGAGGGACTTCCTCCAGCGAACACAGGGCACAATGATGCTGTTCTCCTGATAAGGCTGCATAGAAGTTCCCATGTTTTTCATTCTTCTTTCACCAGACTTGACATGGGGCAGGTTAAATCACTCCGTCACCTGTGTCCGACTCGCTCAGTAATTAGATGATTTAGTGCTCAGACAACAGCCTGAAATATGACTAGTGTTCTAAAAGCAGCACATGGATAGTGATGTTACTCTTGATGCTCATTATGCCTCATAAAACCGATATGTTGTGCACACCTAGTACTGCGTGTAGCCTGATATATGACAAGTGTTCTCTTTCTACTGAATGGGCTTCAGTCTTGATATGAGAAAAGCAGAAATGTCACAGGTGAGAGGCAGGCATTCGGCATTCGAGTGTAGCTCCTCTGATCATTGGTTTTGTCGAAACCCATTTCCCCCCACAGACTGTCATCCATGGCAGCTTCGCCCTGATCCAGGAGCCCCGCTTTTACATTTACCTGCTGCCGCCTGCCATCCTCTACCTGGTGGATAAGCTGGTCAGCCTGAGCAGGAAGAAGATCGAGATCGCGGTGGTGAATGCCGAGCTTCTGCCCTCAGGTATCCTTCGCGCCGAGGTGCCCCCAGCTCGGCAAGAATTCTCCCGGCATCCTCTTTTCTCAGCGCTTGAGAGTGATGACAGAGCCCAGCATTGCTGCCTCACTGCGCTGTGGCCTCGGGTTCAATACTGGACTTGGGGTTTTATCTCTGTGGAGTTTGTATGATCTCCATGCATCTGGGTGCGCCGGTTTCCTCTCAAAAGTCCAAAGACATACCAGTCGGTTAATTGTCTTCTGGGGAGACTGGCCCTGGTGCGAGTGTGTGATGGAGTGGCGTCCCATCCAGGGTGTATCCCGCCTTGCATCTGATGCTTGCTGGGATGGGCCCTGGCTCCTCCGCGACCCTTTGGCGGATAAAGCAGAAAATGGCTTGACCGATGGATGTATGCATCCAATTAATGTTGTATGTATAGGTCTTGGAAAGTTTCAGTCCTCTTTCATGACTCCGAGACGGTTCGGCAGTGAAGAGCCAGCTGACATGTCCCGACGTGCTTGTGTTGATTCCAGGAGTGACGCACCTGGAGTTTAAGCGGCCGCAGGATTTCACGTACAAGTCAGGGCAGTGGGTGCGGATCGCCTGCCTGGCCCTGGGAACAGACGAGTACCACCCCTTCACCCTGACCTCTGCCCCGCACGAGGAGACCCTCAGCCTGCACATCCGGGCCGTGGGGCCCTGGACCACGCGACTGCGGGAGACCTACTCCTCGGAAAGCATGGCTGAGCTGGGGGGCTTCCCCAAAGTACGTCCATGTGGTTGGTGTGCAGGGAGCACGCACTCTGTCCTTTTTCTGTTCCGAAAGCCTGACAGCACCTGGATCGTTTTGTATGTCTGCGAGATTTAAGTTTGTTTAGGTCAACTCTGACAAAGCGATAACCACAAATACAGACTCGATTTTCCCCTTTGGTCTTACTTCAGGCAAAATTCTCCTTCTCATAGTTTTACCATGTGTTTGGTACTGTTGGTCTGCGAGCAAGAGGACAACCCCATGTTGAAGAGCAGCGTTTCAGTGTGCACAAAGCTTCCTTTTTTATCTCCCCAGCTCTACCTGGACGGGCCCTTTGGCGAGGGGCACCAGGAGTGGAACAACTTTGAGGTGTCCGTTCTCGTCGGCGGGGGGATAGGGGTCACCCCGTTTGCCTCCATCTTGAAGGACCTTGTCTTCAAATCTTCAGTCAATTTCAAGATACAGTGCAAAAAAGTAAGTCAGTCTTAAACTATGTATCCATCAGTGTTCTATTCTGCTTATCCAGCAGAATGTCAGAGTGGAGCCAGAGCCTATTCCAGCCACACAATAGGCATGAGGCAGGATATATCCTAGACAGGACGCCACTCCATCACAGGGCACACACAGACCCAAACACACACACACACTCACACCAGGGCCAATCTTCCCTGCAGCCAGTTAACCTACCAGTATGTCTGGACTGTGGCAGGAAACCCATGCAAACAAGGAGATCATGCAAACTACACTCAAAGTAGCACCGCAGCTCTAGAAATGAACCCAGAGCCCCAGCGCTGGTAACCACAGCAACAATGCTGACCACTGCGTTCTCTGACGTCCTTAAACTCTGTAGAAAAGTAGAACTCTACACAATTTTAAATGTGGCTCAATGGTGTCATTTTTCTTACGAACATATGGATAGGCCGTGCATGGTACAATATTTTTGTTACTTTGAAAATGTAGATAATTACTGTCCGCTGTTCTCATCAACCCCCGTTTCCGGCAGGTTTATTTCATCTGGGTGACGCGGACACAGCGGCAGTTCGAGTGGGTCTCAGAAATTATCAAGGAGGTGGAGATGAACGACACCAATAACCTGGTGTCTGTTCACATCTACATCACCCAGCTGGCAGAGAAGTTTGATCTGCGGACCACTATGCTGGTGAGGTGCCCTTTCAGGAGCTCCTGCAGGAAGCTCCCTCTCGGAGACAGAAATGACTCTTCAATCCTGAGGGGAATCCAGCAGATGCTTTCGTTAGGCGTGTCCACAGTCCCACCCCGGTCCAGACACTCGGATTAACTATCCACCCACTTTCCAATCATGACCGGACTCATTCGTCTTAGAGGGCCCGATATCTGCAAATGAAAACTTGCAAAATCTAGGGGATGACAAGTCCCAAAACAGAAATAACAGGCGTGGTGACAGCTGAAGGGAGGGGCTCTTTATCTGAGATAATCTGTGTGTAAACAGGTATGGATGTGAGGAGATTTAAAAGAAGTGCACAAGATCTCAATCTGAAGCCCTACAGCATTTTATTATTTCCTTACTACTTTTGGGAAACAACGTCCAATTGTGGCTTTAAAGGAAACTGGTTCCACTTGCAAGCTATCTGTAGGGTGTGCACACACTCCTTCGGCTCTTTTGTACCAGGACTCTTCCTTGTCGTCAGCTTCGTGTGAGTAAGAGAAGGAAATAACGGATCGTATTGACCATCAATAACCGAAGTTACGGTAACCGCTGAAAGCTTTAATTCTGCTCAGTATATTGTGTGTTTTTTGCCTGCAGTACATCTGTGAACGCCACTTCCAGAAGGTGCTGAACCGTAGCCTGTTCACCGGCCTGAGCTCCATCACTCACTTTGGGAGGCCCCCCTTCGTGCCGTTCTTCAATTCCCTGCAGGAAGTCCACCCCGAGGTAAGGCTTCCCACAGTGCCAGTGCGTCAGCGCCACTCCTGACAAACCCAAGCCAGAAAACCAGTCCCACTTCACAAGGAGGAGACCCCCACAGATCCCAGAGCTTTTCAGGAACAGAGCAGAGACTGGTACCCCCGCTCGTCCCCAGTTAAAAATGAGTTCATCTCCTTTTGAGCTGGGCGGTGTCACACGAAAATGCCAGTGGAATCAACGGGGGGTGTTCTGCGGGGGACCTTACCTGTTTGTGTTTCAGCCTGTTGCTGTGGTAGAGGGAGGGAGTGGTGTGTGTGAGATGGGGAAGCTCCACGCTCTAAACCAGTTTCTAATGTGCCCGACCTGGCCTTTCCCCTTTAAGGTTGGCAAATTCGGCGTGTTCAGTTGTGGTCCTCCAGGCCTGACGAAGAACGTGGAGAAAGCCTGCCAGCAGATCAACAAGAGAGACATGGCCCACTTCATCCACCACTATGAGAACTTCTAGCCGGCGCGGAGGGTAGCTGTGACAATGAAGGAACACACCCATGAAGAACTCCATGTCAGAGCACCGCCACACCACAAGGCGGGGGAACAAATATACGAGCATGTGCAACAGAAGTGCTGTGGGACTCAAATACAGATAGATACTGGTAGAACTGAACCCCCCACAGTGTCAAAGTCACAGCTTTTATTGATACAGTCACCTGAAAAGAGAAGAACCCCAGTTCTCTGGCAGCCAAGGCTAATTGTCGGAGAAGTTTATACTAATAGAGAGGCGTTTTGAAATTGTGACTTACTGTTTATCTTTGCTACATTCTATAGCACGTAGGTCTTTTACTGCTGAGGAAACTCAGGTGCACATGAGATACTCCATTTCTTTTGTTAATCAAACAAGTGAAGAGCAGAGATCTGGTGCGATCACCTACTGTACCTTGTCTTTTCTTTTGTTTTTATGAATTGCTGGGCACAAATCGAATGGGAACATAATGAAGTAATTTTAAATTTATTTTATACATCTGAAGATTTTATTCGGCTTTTAGCGAGAATCAGAGCCATTTATTTTTTGAACAGAGAAAATCGTTTTTTAAGCTGTAACCAATACCTGTTTTTGATGAAAACCTTTTCCTTTCAGATTTTGTTCATATAGTTCATATAACCGAATAGTTAATAAAATCTGATGTTTTAACCCTACCAATCGTGGTTTGCCTTTACTTTAATGCTACAACAATTATCAAGACAAACGTTCATTCTGAACTGATCTTGCATTGCTGTTGAGAGAACTAAAATACTATGGTAACTGCACAGAAGTGCTCAGAAAGCTTGCAGTGGACCTTGAGTTAGTGTTACAGGTAATTTAATAAAAACATTGTGGAAATGTAGTTTATTAATATTAAGTGAACCAATATGACAGTATTTAGTTTAAAACTGTTTTACTATGAATGAAATCCAAAACCATGCTGACTAAAAGTTACAAACCCAATACGCAGAGATAACATCTTGTTTGCAAGAGTTATCTTTCCACTTGATACTGTGCTTCTTACATGAAGTGGGGTTCAAAAGTTTGGTTTAAAACCAATTAAAAACTGCTAACAGGTGAAGAGGGATACCATTTTTTTGTGCACTGATCTGTAAAAAAAACTTCAAATTTTGGTACAAAATGTCCATTCCCCTAAATTGCCACCATTTGAACCTTCCCAGAAAACCTAACCCACATAATCTGTGTCACTACCAAGTAAATCAAGACTATCAGATTAAACTTTGTTATCACAGGTTTATGTTTGCTGTGGTGAAGCAGAAAACAGAAGACAAATACAGCAATCAGTTTTCACAGTTAATGAGCTCTTTTTGAAGAGGTCTATAACCACGGATTAGTCATACATTTGCATTAAAATGTCAGTTTAACAAGAGCAATTTCCTCCTGAGTCCTTGAAAGTACAGTATGTAAACACTTCAGCCTTATAGTGGAGGGCACTTTGTTCTTCAATGTGCTGAAATTGTAAAATATTTTAGCACAAGACATAACAAAAATGCAGAAGAAAATTAAACATTTGTAGTCTGAACTCTAATGTACTACCTAATTGTCTTAGACCCGAGATCTTTTCAAATACAGCACCTCTTATTATACTTCACATACGTTCTATGACATTAAACTAATAATTCCAGGCTTAACGTCCTGAACCACACCCCCAAATCTGAAAAAACCTTCCTACTTTCGGATTTTCTTCCTTTCTTACTGCCATCAGCTTGTTATGATGCGGTAGTCTAATATCTTAGGAATTAGTCTGATGTGTTTTATGAATGCTGTGAAAACTGCGAAAACAGAGAATCCAGACTGCATTCTCTACGGCCAGGTATAATGGTCTGCTACCACATTTAGCACATCAGTGCCAAACTATGGATGTTGGACTTGGGAAGAAAAGAAAAGGAAGAGTTTTTTTAAAGTAGAGTAAGGATAGTCTCAGGCAAAACGCAGCTAGGCCCGCTGACTGCATGGCCGGTACCAGGGTGTTCGCTGCGCCTGAGCTCTCACAGCCCCGGGGTGGACGTTACGGGCTCTGGTCCTGCTTGTCGCACTTGAGCATGACCTTCACCCCCAGGCCCTGCCGAGTGGTCTCAAAGGCCTCCAGGGCCTGCTCCAGTGGGAAGCGGTGTGTGACCAGCGGCTTCACGTTCACCTTACCGGAGGCCAGCATAGTGATCGCCATGGGCCACCTGGGGAGAGAGAGGAGAGGAGTCACCGCAGGACTGACACAGACAGGGTTTCTCCCGCGACGTCGCCAACTGGGGCTTCTCCGCGGCGAGGGAGCGCTGGAAGGGACCGTGGGCCCTGTGCAGGCACTGGTGGACAAAAGCAAGTGGCTCAGCTTGGAGGGACTCTGTCATTGCGCAAATCCGGCCTCAGCATCCACTTGCACAGATTGATAATGGACAATCGCCCCGTTTGAAAGGTTTTATCGCATGCCAAGTCCAGACACCTAGTCAGAATGTCTACAAAATATGTGAGAATGTTTCTTTTGTTGTTATGGAAATAAAGTATATTTTGATTTTAACAAATTCTAAAGTAGTGCTGATCAAAACCTGAACAAGAAAAAAACACAAATTAAACAGATTTGTCAGGTGTAGTGAGGTGGAATTTAATTGTAGAGGAGCATCAAATTACTTTCACCAAACAATTACTGAAGCAAACTACACCTAGAAGCATTAAAAATGCGAGACATGAGTGTTGTGTGTAAAACCAATAGTATTTTTTGTATTTTTTATACTACTTAATGCATAATAGGCAAAAAAAGTCTTGACACACACTGGATTTTACATCCATTTACAGTATTTCAAACCTTATAATAGCACAGCTTTGATTAATTGTGGTTTTAGGAGTGGCTGTTTAGCAAGTTTGAGTAACTTAGTGTATCACCTGCTGTGTGTCCTCTGAGCAGTGTTGCCAAGAAAGGAACAAGCAATCGGAGAAGAATGGTTTGGCTACTCAAGAACACCAAAGAGAGCTGGGCTGCATGATTTAAAGAAGCCAAGGCTGGGCTTCAAAGACAGAAAGTGGGACAGAACCCACAACCCACCCCACTGTCACAGCTGTGTGCAGACATCTCTCGGATAATGAACAGAGGCCAATTTTCAGGCAATGAAATGTTGCAGTCTCGGGCCTTCATGTTGGCAAGCTGCGCAGTTTAGATTTGGATAAGGAGCACAGTGGCTAAGCAAAAAGGGGGGCACATTTATTTTAGAAAGAAATGTCGTTATTTGAAATGAAACACCCAGGCTCCCCATGACGGGACTCGTGTGAAGCTGCACCTCAGCTGTGGCATGTTCACGGTTTTCCTACACACCCATCCGAACAAATTCTGGTAGCAAGTCAAATTTCAGTGGGTGTGTGCTGTTATATCTGCTATATTCTGCTGTGTATCAGTGTCTGTGCTTCTAACACAAATATACTTAAAAGGTGTAAGTAAATAAGAGAGGGGGGGATATTAACTGACCACTGATGATATAGTACTAATTACAAACTAATTCAGAAAGACTGCCAGCTTGTAGCCAGTGCTAAAGTCACTGTGACAACACACAGTTCACAGGGCTCTTGAGAAATCCTGGGCTCTTGAGTACAGTAACACAGCATGCCTCAGCACCAGTTATCAAATGAAGTCAAGGCAAGTCTGCGGTCCACTCCTTTGATGTAGAAAATACAGACTCATTGTGAAGTTAACATTTTTAAATCGATAATACCTAATAATCAAAAAGCAAAACATGTGCCAAGCTCACAAAGCACAAAGAGCCAAGCACTGAGTGGCATCAGATCGTGCCGGGGTGCAGTTTAACTGAGTAAGGTCACCTGTGAACCAGACAGGAAGTAAACTTTTGGCAAACATGATCTGTTTGTGTATTGGTTTGCATGGTCAGAGTGTTTGCATGTTTATGAGTTAAGGTGCTGTAAGATGTGTCAGATCTATGCTCTGCATGCATTGAGCATGTCCGGCATGAGTCCTGCTCGACCTCTCAGAGACACAAAGCTCCACTGATGCTCACGTGTTGCAGTAGCGGAAGATGCCCCTGATGTCCACCTCCCTGACCGCGGCATTCAGAAGCGGGATGTTCGCCATCTCAGAGCCCAGTCCGACCAGAACCACCACGCCACCAGAACGGGTCGCCTGGTGGGGGAGAGGGAAGCAGAGCAGAACACAGCACAGTCATACAAGGCCATTGTCCAGGTGCTGGGTGTCCCCCAACGGCCAGGACAAAACCCATTGCAGGTCACGAATCAAGACTTCAGTAACTAGACTTAGAATTGGATACAGATTTTTAGCCAGATACTGTGGTTGAAACATGTCACAAAACCCACTATTTTGGGGCTTCAGGACTTAAAATTAGACACAAGTGTAAAGACACAACCCGACTCGACTGTCTCAAACTAAACTGCAGTTTTGCACATGTGGAGAGTAGGTGTTGCAGATTATGTCCTGCTTACGACAGACTGGTGAAAAAAGTAGACTTTCACAATTTGTATTTGCCATAAAGCATCATTTGAACGGAGATAATTAGATGCTGCAAAAGCCACACAGCACTTTGGATCCCTTTTAGTTGCAATTCTTGATGCTGTTTTAATCCATCTATCGTGTTTAAAGAGATGTATAAGCCATGCTGAGGACCGGCCAGAGTTGGACTCCCTTAATCTAATGACCGTGTCATTAATCACCACTAACTGATAGTACAGCCCTTCTCAGCTGTGTCATGGTGAAAAATACTTAATACATAAAGTGTTATGTATAACATAAATAACATAAAATGTGTTATTTTATAAAGAGTGTTCATAACAGATCTAGACTAAATCAGATAAAACACATCAATGTACTATATGGAATTCCAACACACAAAGGGTTACATCTATAAGAATACCAGGTTAAACTACTACATATTAAGCAGATTGGGCTACAGAGAGACTGTAAGAGACTGGGTGACTAGAGACTGTCAAGGGATCTCTAGCACCTGTCCATTGGATGACTGGATGGAAATGAGGTACTTACATTATTGGTAGTAGTTTGTTTACACATTGTGCGATTAGCCGTGACTCTGTTGTCGGGTTTCGCAGGGTATGATTAGCAGTGTGTTTAGTATAAACAGGGATTCACAGCTTTACTCACTGTTTGGGTTTTGGTTGCAGATCCTTGTACTCTGAGAGAGGAGTTCTATACCCTAATGGGTGGGAGCAAACCTGTGCATGAAAGCTATGGGGAGCAGGCTGAGTAGTGCTGACCAAAGGAACACTGGTATGCTCATCCAGACAGTGGTGTAAGTCTGATTTTGGACCATCCTGGAGGAGAAGACCTCTAAATATTACTGCATGGACTTCGAAGGGCAGGGTGTACAGATGAGAATGGTAATGACAGCTGCCTCCTGGCCATGATCAGACTGGGAAAGGACAGTACGCGGATTGGCAATGGGGACTCAACACACCAGCTACCTAGCTGGGTGGTGTGAGGTAAACCCAGAGCCCCTCCTCTCATGCACGAGGGCAGGCTGCCTTAACGGAGCACGGCTGATCAGCCTGCCAAGGAAAACAGTGAGATTGCGGTTTGTTTAGGGGCTACATGGTAGCATAGTCCAGTGCCTCCACTGTCCCTGCTCTCCCCTCAATGGCCACTAGAGGCCACCAGGAAGAGCAGGTGCCATTGTAACAGCCGTATGGATAACATTCAGAAGGAAACTGTTAATGACCTGATATACCATGAGGGAATTCTTGGCTAATTCGAATAACCATATGGAGAGATCTCTAAATCCTAAATTATAAAGTTGGAGACTGGACTTCTTTGGACCAATACAGCATTACAAAACCTGCTGATACCACTGAGGAAGACTGATGTGGACGGAAGTAAATAGACCGTTGAACACTGTGAGTGGAGTGGAAAAAGAAACTCAGTCCTAATCATGGGGAAAGCTGAGGCAGGTGAACCGGAGCTTCCTTAACCAAAAGTTTGACGGAGTGTAGCACAAGACATCGGGAGTGTTGAAGCCAATACACTGACCTCTTTAAAAAATAGTTGGATGAGATGAACTAGCAACTAACAACCAAAAGCCAAGATGGGCTGAAAGATTTCAAACAAGATGAAACCATTCTTATGTTCTTGCATAAGTACATATTTTAAACAGGGCTTCCGTTATGCTGTCATTTTGCCTGTTATTCTATAGTAGGTCACAGTATTAATGTTCTCAAGTGAAACATTGTTCTATATGTTTCACTTGAGAACATTAATACTATGAACTAATGGGCCCTGAGGCCTCTTGACATGACTGCTTCAGGATCAGATTCTAGTTCATTATTTAACTGAAGGTTTGGGGGTAAAACTAAGATTTTGTTACATAACTATTACCAATACAGAAGTGACCTACTGATAACTAAAATGTACAGTAATCTGTGATATCTAACCTTGGGAAATACAGGCTTAAATGAAACCACATGTACACAGATAATTGACATAAAATACTGCCAATACAGCATTAAACACCCAGTTTACACAGGTTAAGTAATGCTGCATTCCAATCCATTGATTTGCTAATGACGCAGTTAATCTATGAAAACAGATTGAGCAGCCTCGTGTTTGGACAGCTATTGTGGGAGAGTGAGAACAGTCTATAAGAATTAATCCCACAATAAGGAAGAACGGAGGAATATTTCTACATCTGATTAAAAAATATACAATCAAACAATCAAATCAAATAATGCTATGTGAATAAGGTAGCCTATGTTTTATATAGGCAATACGTTGGCATTGCAAAATTAATATTTACTTTGAACAACACTCATAAACCACAGGATAAAAGATGTCTTCAGCTGGGTACGGGTAGTTTTTATGGCGGGGAAAAGGAACACAAAGGGCTTGTATTTCTTTTCACCTCCCAATATTAGCTTTGCAGGTGTTTTCACAGAAGGCCATTTGATAATAAACTACAATACTTTCTATGCAAATTACCTCTTTAAAGATTGACACTGTAAATCTATCATGTAATGATATCTTATTAACGTGTTGGCATTCTGATAGTTTGGCGTTCCATTAGCACACTATTCTACATTATTTCCTCCACCAGCGTTCTTCAGCATCAACACTCAGGCTATGAAACATTTCTAAACCACTTTCAAAGCTTTGAAGGAAGGCTGGCATCATCTAAGAAAGTACCTTCTTAATTTGTGCAATCTATCTTTTTTGGGGGGAGGATTTTTTTAATTCCTCTTTTGAAGAGTCAAATCAATATTCCACTTGTAGGATAAAATAGAGGAGCAAATACTGTAGAGGAGGAAAGTGTTCTGAAAACCTTTTTATGCACAAGGTTGAAAACATGACACTGTGATGCCGCAGCTGATAAATTAATGTGCAAGAACTGCTTTCAAGCTGCTGTACACATGGGCAACGTTTAAGGGGAAACTATAATTTTAAAAGTGCTGATTCACTCAAAGTGCTGATAGGATATTTATTCCCACGAGACTGATGCATTTTCTAAACTTGTGACCTGTTTTCTGGAAGACTGCAGTGCTGTGACAGCATGTTAAAATGTTTCCAAACCTCCAGAAGAGAAGACAAGATCCTGTAGGCATCAGAGACTGAAGCTGGACCCCTTGTCCCCGCAACTTGCACACTAACGCACTCACATAAATGGCGGTCTGTATGCAGGACTCCACTCCAGTGCACTCGATGGTGACCTCCGGCAGGCATCCCAGCAGCCCTTGCACCTTCGCTGCGAGCTCTGCGGGGCTCTCCTTCTGCGCCTGCAGGGGGAAGTCGGCCCCCAGCTCCGCGGCCTTCTGCAAGCGCTCAGCTGACAGATCTGCCCCGGGGAAGACGCGGTGCGGGAAGAGAGAAGTGACCTGCGCTGCTCTTGACCGAGAACAGGCGAATGGAACGGCAACCAAACACAACTCCTTCCCCCGCGCTTGTTGGGAGACCAAAAGGAACTAAAAAAAATATATTTTCTGTGCTTTCGTTTCTCCTGCCTTATATTGCTTGGGTCTAAATCGGATCTCCCTGGCGGTATGAGCTGGTTACAGTCGACGCTTGAAAGCCAGAGGTAACTATAACACTCACGGCATCAGTTTGGGAAGAAGACCACACCCAATGCCCATCCACCTCCTGATCCCACTCAGATATGCATAGCTTTCTTCTCAACAAGGAACAGTTCATCTGGCACTTCCACACTGATACCTCACTGAACCCTCAAACTCTTATCTCCTGAAGCAGCGAGCTGTAACGGCGATCTGTTTGGAGTAAGGGCATTTAATACTCCATATTGTTGGCAGTAATTCTTCAGGAGTTGGCCCAGCACTGAAAAGAATGTGCTTCTCTGCAAGAATAATGGATTATTTCGCCTGTAATTCATCAGACTGCATTTCAACATGCATTTTCGACGTAGCATGACACCAGGAGCAGACTTTTTCAACACACTTTTCAAATGTTTTCAGAGCAATCCTATCATCACCTATTTTTATTTTAAAGTGAAGAGGTGGGAGGTGATGAGTACAGTGAGCATGCAGAATTGGGGATTAGGATTACCGATATCATGATAACTCCATATCTACCACAGAACAAACTGTGAGAACTGAACTATCCAATATTATACAACTGTTGACAGTACTTTATGAACAAGAAGTCCTTACCGCTTATTACAACCCTGGAGGCACCCATAGCTCTGGCCACTAGCAGACAAACAAGCCCAATAGGTCCTGCAAACACAGTAAAAGGGCATTGTTACATGTCAGTTTTATCACATCAGTACAGGGGGAGATCGTTCTAACAGCACAGGCAGAGTAGACATTGTTCCTGATCGCAGTGGTTATAGGGTTAGACCTGGAGGTCTCCCTGAAGCTGTAGTCCTCTCCCCCATACTCATTTGATAACAGCATGGGGACACATTTTCCAGCTGGAGACTGAAAAACCACGCTCTTTACCATGACTCAGCGGTTATGACAGTTTCCCATCCCAATGGGTCAACCGGGTTGAGGGAATTAACCCAGACCGAAATGAAACACAGATGGAACGTAGGACGAAAGCCACCTTCCACAACATTTTTTAAACTTTAAACAAGTCGTGTTGTGATTTATTTAGCAGTTTATAACTTCTTGTCCAGTCACTGTGACGTGCTGTAATGGAACTAGCTGATGCAGCATTTCCGAAAGGGTAAATCTGTAGCCTCTCTCAAGTTAAGGTTAAGGCTGCAAAGACTTCACCTGTCAAACTTAAAAGAACCTCACGCGGAATGATGTAGTTGACCACAGCTCTCTCTGCCCCATATTTTCACGGTCGCTCTTTGGTTCACCAAATGATTTCTTAACCACCAAGTACACGGTTAGTCCAGATGGTCATAGTGACTCTCCTTTTCAGGTTGTGTAAAATTTCCATCTCTGCCAGAGAGATGACCCGTCTGCAAGAAAGTGGTTACTTCAGACTATAATTGTGGTGTCCTGGGACCTACTGTGGGCTAGGGGACACACTGATGACTTTCTGCTGTTGATCGGATTTATTTAAAGTTACCTTTAAAGGAGTGAATTATATTCGTTTTCCCAACCTTATTGAAACCACGCTATCCGCCTCAAGAAAATTAGCAAAACATTTCTGGGAAGCTACAAAATATTTTTTCCAACCCTCGAAAAGGGACACAAGCAGACTCAAAATTTGTGCACACTATACAAAATTAGGCAAGATAAAAGAAGTATCTACTTTCGTGCTGTAATGAATACAAGGCCATCTCCACTGCCAAGCTATGAGATGGGGACTGACCGACCTAAAATGGGAATAGATTGCTTTTTATTCTTCTCTGTGCACCCGATTGTCTTTTCAAACCATCTGATCTCTAGTAATGCAACATGCACTGTAGTCCTGTGTGTCCTTTTCCTTCTCTCTTCCATGACTTAGAACCAAAAATGTCTGGCACAGTGTCCCCTGTGGGTGTAATTAATTAAAATCCTCAAAGACCACTTCTGTTCTGTTTCTGAAAAGGAGAAGAGGATCACAGTGAATGAATACTGTTTTTAGCAGGAAACAGAATCTTTGGTAACATGATGCCTGGGAATTCCAGACACAGTAACAAAACCTTTGTCTGTGTGATCAGATACGTGGCGAGGCCAAATGCGTTGTTAAAAAAATAAAGGAGTTTGCCAACATATTCCACGGATTTTTCGCATTTCTTGTGTAATATTGCATGATCATCTGTGCAAGGCACTGCACCTGGCTTGCCTGTTCTTGAATCTGGTTCTGCCTGTTGTGTTTGACACATTCTGTTTGCCCCACATACAGGGCACTTATTATAACACTGCGGAGCTCTGGAAATGCATGCCAGTATTGTCCTGATAGTCTTAGCTGGTGTATAGTGGGGCCTGCTCTGCCCTGGCCCACAATGAGCAAGTCCTCACCTGCCCCGCAGATGAAGACAGTGCTGCCCAGAGATACCCCACCTCTGCGACAGGCATGGATTCCCACAGAGAGAGGCTCAATTAGAGCCCCTTCCTCGTAGGTCACATTGTCTGGTAGCCTGGAAGAAAAAAAACGTAAGAAGAGAAATCAAGCAGTTTATGTTTATGTAGGGCTGTATGGCAATTCTTTAAAATTGATAGTGACTTTTTAATGGTAAGCAACTGATGCCAGGCTGTTGTGAACCAGGTTATATACCTTAATGGAGTTTGTAAAGAACGTTTGGGAGGGATGACAACAACCAAGTTCAATCAGAAACGGCTGTCAGTAATTCGCAATCACTACTGATGTCATTTCCTCTCCTAAATACTCTAAATACCGTACATGATCCCCTTCTCTCCCTCCTGTACATCTTTTCCACCCCACCTCCATCTCTGTAGCTGCCTCTTGGTCACTCCTCACTCTGCAGGAGTGTCCCAGCCTCCTCGTCCTCTGGCCAGGAGATCAACCCTCAACCAAGCGGGTAAAGCCAAATTTTCACTTCATAATCCTCTCATGACACTTTATTCTTGTGTGTTTTAATTCCTACATTAACAGAAGTTTATGCGATATTCTCATTAAATTTCCTCACTAATTGCAGTATTATTTGAAAGCTCCCCCAATTCTCCCCCAACATCTGCACTAGGATTCTTCAAACGGTTCACAGCACTGACTTATAACAGAAGTTGGCATTGTGAACATAGTATCTGCACAGATTTCCATCATCTGGTGGAGTGGCGCAGAAAAAGATGGTGGGCGACAGGTTGTAGCGTCCACTTTTGAAAAACTCGTCCATCTCTCGGGGCACTCCGGGCTCCACGGCAACTCGGTCACCTGTGGGTGAGATACGCAAGAACATTGCGGGTGCTCAGAGCCCCGTGGGTTTTCTGCTGCTGTGGTCGTTGTAGATGGGCGTTGATTGCACAGTCGAGCTGAACTACGCGGAGAGGAAATTCTTCAGTTGGCCGGAGAGATCGTGCTGGCGCGCAGGGAGGCACATGAGCTGTGTGATTCTGCCTGCTGTAGAAATCTGACTCCGGCACCCCGTCATTACTCCTGACCTGGCTTGAGCACATTTTAAACAGCCACCCGCTGTTGCTTGTGACATCTCCGGAATAGCTGAATGGTCCGGATAACATCATCAGGAAGAGCCACTGGGCCATAAGCAGAATTGTCACACCATTCATGGTAATGACGTAGGGCGACCCTGGTTGTACACAGACTACAAAACCTGCTGTCACACTGCTGTGATTCAGGATGCTGTGGGGGAATTCTGAGAAGAATTCCAGTGTAATTCAAGCAAAAGCAGGTTATTTCATTTTATTAATGAAACTTTGAAATAACTGTCTGTTGCCCACTTACACTACCTACACTCAAAATGAAGGATATTTTCCGAGATGTACCTGGTTTGAGATGCTTGACCTCTGACCCCACTTTGATGACCTGCCCAGAGGCCTCATGACCCAGAACCATCGGCTTCTTCAATACAAAGTCTCCAATCCTCCCGTGTTGCCAGTAATGGACATCAGAGCCACAGATGCCCACTGAATGCATGCGAAGTAACACCTCTGACAACAAGGACAAAGGACTACATTACTTTTAAAAACAGCACTGTTTATCCACATTTCATAATAATAATAACATCACTTTATTAACCCTTTACAATTTCTTGCATTAGGAATTATCTTTTCGCATACCCCAGCTTGCTCTCCATGAGACACACAGACACACAGATAGGGAGAGAGCCTGGGGTCAGAGCGCAGGGTCTGCCATAGTACAGCACCCCTAGAGCACTTGGGGTTAAGGGCCTTGCTCAGGAGCCCACAGGAGCAGATCCTTAGCCACAGAGCCACCGCTCCGCCCCATGACAGGACTGAAGAGAAGTCTGTCTTGGGAGGTTACTTGCAAACATAATCAGTTATAAAGGATGAAGGAATGGCCGAAGACTTTCCTAGTTCACCACACTATTTCTCACAGTATATATTATGTATATTTTATAATTGCATGCAACACAAGTGAGCATACAAGTTTTGCTCACCAAGCTCATGTCAAGTGAGCTGAAAGAGATCAATCCCACTGAAGAACTGAGCCTTAAATATTATTGCTTATCTGGTAATGCGAGACACAAGCTGGCACAAGGAAAAATATGTTCTTTTTTGAGGAGGGGATAGAACAACAAAATTCTATTTTACTTCCCAGAACTCTCATACTCCTGGCAGCAAGTATGGCAAACAAAAATGAAAATTGAGCTGGCACTCAGATCCCCTGATGCACAAAGTACACAGTATCAGAAAATAGGCTGAAATGCTAGCATGGGTATTTTGATTTCTGCCATAGCTTCACAATTGCTTGCAGCAATACCATTTTATCTTAACAAAGGCTAAAAGGCGTCTTTTTATTCAGCAAATGATCTGACTGATACCATGTCATTAAAAACACTGATTCACGCAATGTGCAACATGGGCAAGTGCTTACCTGAAGGAAATGAGCTGTGCCTAGTCCATCATGCTAACACAAGCAACACTGAAAGAATATTGTAAAACACCTTTCCTATTCCTATAGATTATGTGCAATTAAAGAGATTATACCAAAACATTGTAGTCCTTATGGCGTACTTAAGATATGAATTCCCAGGACCCTCTTATAAATAATTACAATTCTTCTTAAAGGGTAATGACACGGAAATTCCCTTAGTTAGTAACACAAGACTGTCTTCACCTGTTGCTTGCGTAATGACAAGAGACTTTGTATGCCTTTGTATTGTATCTGGTTGTGTCCATTGTAAGACATTACAAAATACCTGCATCATAGTAAAAGTCTCACTCTCATATAAAATCTGAGAACATCATTGTGTAAGAGATAGTATCACAAGATAATGCTTTTTCAGTAGTGTGGAAACCCCAAAATGATCACTATACAATGTTATGAACAGAATGCTTTTGAAAGCTAAGCCATAGTTCTTGTAACCCCATCAACACAAGAAGGGTGTTGCGCTTTTCCACTTTCTGAACTAGACTTTTGGAAAGGAAAGCACCACTGAAAAAGATCTGATAAAAAAAAAACATGTAATCATACCGTTTGGGCCTGGTTCAGGAATCGAGCGATTTTCCTGTGAAAACAAATTTCTAAGTTAAAACATCAGTCACCTCATCTTATCGGGGCCAACATTCCAGGTCTATCTGGGAGTCAGTAATGATGTAATGATTGATGAGGACCCGGCTAGGAAGGGAGAATTAGGCAGTCATCTCACTGTGATACAATAATAACTGGCTGACTAGCAAGCAGAAGTATGAGCTAAAACCCACCTTAGGTTAATATGTAGGTAAGTCAATAGTTGAAATTAGTGAATTATTCACCAAATATGCTTTTCAAGTGGGGAAGATGTGTTCTACATCATAACCTTCTCAGAAAGGCCTACTCTCTTGGCACTTCCTGATCAGGTCACAATCACAGGATAATGGCTGGAATCCAGAAGCCACCTCTGTGCAGGACAGCTGGAGTTCACTGCCAGCTCTGACCCCTGGGAAGACGGATGTGGTCTTGTCTTCAGTCAACACATGCAGTCCTGGGGGGGGGGTATTCTAGCTCACTTTGAGGAAGAAAACCAAAGAAAATCCGAAGCAAGAACTTCGAGAGAATCTCTTTGTGGCGCCTTGGCTTTGTGCTAAGCGCGTACATGTGTGCCGTGTCAAACACCCGTTTACAAGGAAGCTCGCTATACACACGTGCGTTCTTAAACACAGCCCAACGTTTTACGATCTCGTCGTAAAAGTGAATGACAGAGTGAGTGAATGGGTGCGTGGGGCAGAAGGTATCCGGCACCATGCTGACTTGAAGTTCCCATCGAGCAGCCAGTGTCTCCCAGTGTCGATGTGTTTCTCGCCTGGGCCTCTGAGATTCGTCCCATTGATCAAAGGCCCTCCTAGCGCAGATGCCTGGCATTCACCACGCAGAGGACAGAGGCGAGATGTGGGGCTGCATGAGCTGGTTTAACTGTGTCTGTGAGCTGGATGGGGGGCTCCAGAAAGGGGTTTGAATAGTGTGTGTCTCTTGTGGCTGAGCTGGGTTGTGTTTTCTGTGTTTTGCGTGGGCAGTCATAGAAATTATTGTGTTATGTGTAGCATGATTAACTGTAATAAAAGGGAATATTATGTAGGGTGACAGTCCTGCCTGGTTTGTGGGCGCACTGCACTGGTGTCTATGGGAAAATAAAAAGAACTTCTTGCGGGAGATAAAGGGTCCTAGCAACTTTGCAAGTGCTAGGTGGTGTAGTCGGCAACAAAGCAAAAGCAGCTCCTGCATTTTAGTGGTCACCATCTAGGACACGAATCCGCCATTCGCGGCAGGCATGAGGAAGCACTTCGGCGTACTCCCGTCACCTGACAAACTGCCAGAGTCATCTCAGCGGGACAGACCTGGCAGAAGGACATTTACGTCTATTTCGAGCAAGACTGGCGAGCCATTATGTGCTTTAGCTACTAGTTAATAGCCATTCAGCGGCACTGGGCTTTGTAAACTGTAAGAAAACCAGCAATACAACAAGGGATACAACTCGTTTTCGAATAAGATGCCGCTATATCCCGTTCCGTTGTCTTCCGCCCCCTGTGCGCATTGCAGTTGCGGTCCCAAGTGAAATACGGGGCACCCTGATCCGTCTGTCGCGACACATACTGTACGATCATTTAGTTTTTGAACATTACAAACGCTTCCTGCCAGCCAGCTACCCACACGTCACCACACCCTACGTCATAATACATCGATTCATAATCAAAAACTTTCTGAAGCGGCGACTCGTTGTACTTCATGTCATTCTAATTTTCGCATATGTTACCAGTTTAAGGTTGCCTGCAGAATGTAGAACCACAGAAAGATTATCCTGATCCATCTCGGTTATCGGCGAAGAAATACGCTCTGGAGACTAGCGCAGTAAACCGCGGGTATGATCTTTGCCTTGCAGAGCTGAACTTGCACACTCAAGCTCAAAGTACCCTTTTCCTGTTTTTGTATTAACCAGGAGATAGTCAGTGCGCTGGACTATTTGCAACATGTCCGCACTAACGCCCCGATAGCAGAATGAAACTTTACATTAGTACTGGAAAAAGGCAAAACACATCTAGTGTAAGGTCACACTAAAAACACAAAACTGTCGGATTCACTAAAATATTCCAGAGAAATCCTGTCTCCTGCATGCATGATTGTGTGACAGTTTCTTTTGTCGTCTTTACCATGCATGTTTTCTTGAATTCTCAGTTTTAACATCTACATCTATTTTAAATTAAAATTGAAATGAGGGCGCTCCGCTCAGTTAAAAACGTCGCTTACAAATTCGTAAGTACTAGAATTAGAGAACAGATATTAAAAATGTATTTGGCGTTACATAATTTAAATGATAAGCATACAATTAATTACGGAAATTCGTGCTAAACAATTCCTATATATAATTATTTAGAAGTCACTATTGCGAGAGATTCCAAAATCATAGGTCTTGTTTGTAGTTGAATGTTAATTGCACAGGTCTTGAAATGGATTGCGCACGTCTTAGTAGTACTACGGTGACTCCATAGAGTCAAGGGTAGCAAGGACCCGGAAGTTATTGGCAGTGTATAGCTACTGTTGCTATGGGGACAGTACACCAAAAATATGGAAATAAAGTTTTACCCAAAACGTTAATATGGAGCCTTCATATCAGCACTTAATCCTCCGCATATGTTGTCTGCGTTGTACTGAACTCGTAAGGAGATTGTAATTTTTTATGTCCCGATTCTTGACTTTGTAGGTTACCAAAGAAAAGAAAGTGTAAGGTACAGTACCAAGGGGATCATCCCTATTCACCCGTGAGTGGTAGTAAGGGCAGTAATACTTTTGTATTTTAAGTGAATCGACAACAAGAAGCTCGGAACAAATGTTTTTTAGGAATATGCAAAAGAACATCATCTTGCTGCGTTAATCAGGCATCTTTTGCGGATTACTGAGACAGTGAAACTATGGATGCAGAAAAACTGATTATGGATAGTCTGTACAAACAGTCAGAGGTGTTAAATCTCAGTCATCGCCAGCTCTTTGTGCCACCACCTTCTCTCTCTCATCTGACAAATTTAAAGCGTCTGTTTCTAAACAACAATCGCCTTCTGTTACCACCTCAAGAGGTAAGGGTGAAGGCCATTTAACGTAGGTTGAATTTTTTTTATGGTCCCGTGTTATTTCTGCTTTCATTCTCAAATGCATTGTCTCGGAGGTCCAGGGTGTACCCTGCCTTGCACCTGTTGCTTGCTGGGATAGGCTCTGGCTCTCCGCGACCCTGATCTAGATAAAGTTGGTAGAAAATAGATGAAGGGATCATGAGCAATAAAGTTATTTATAGGCTGTGATGTGATATTTCTTAAAGTCTTCTTGTGAATGTGGGAAAGTCTGAGCCCCACCTTATTGTGAAACTACAGAATTATTTCCTTCACTAAATCTATTAGATAAACAAATAGCACTCCCTTTATCCTCCAGCAACTATTTCACTCCACAGCAAGATTGCTGAGTGGAAGTGAATCAAGAGTCTCTTGCCGATATTAGTGAAAATATTGGACCTCTTGATTCATAACATACAGTAACATCACTTTATTAGCCCTATACAATTTCTTGCATTAGGAATTAGTCTTTTTCATACCCCAGCTTGCTCTCCATGAGACACATAGACAGGGAGAGAAGCCTGGGGTCAGAGCTCAGGGTCAGCCATTGTACAGCACCCCTGGAGCAGCTGGGGTTAAGGGCCTTGCTCAGGGGCCCAACAGAGTAGGATTCTTCCACTGGCTGCAGGATTTGAACCAGCAACCTTCCACCCACAGGCACAGATCCTTAGCCACAGAACCACCACTCCAGCCCGATACTGTCTGGGGTTAGACTAATCTTTTTTAATATAACAGGGATCTGCACACATGCCGTAATAAAAGAGAGAGATAGACCTTGATGAGTTTCTGTCTTATTATTATTTTTTAGATTCTGCATTTGCAGAGGCTGGAGTTGCTGGTCCTGGATGATAACCAGTTGACTGTGCTACCCAGTGGGATTGGTGCACTTCACCACCTCAACTCTCTCAGTGTGAGCCACAATCCCCTCTCTGTCCTTCCTGTGGAGATTGGAGACCTAACTGAGCTCAGGGAGCTGTGGGCAGTTGGCTGCAGCCTCATCTCCCTGCCTGCCAGTGTTGGGAAACTGAAAAAACTTCAGAAAATAGGGTTACACAACAACCACCTCTCCACTCTCCCTCCCGAATTCGTGCATCTTACAGACCTTCAGTGGTTAAACCTGGCCTGCAACGAATTGTGTGACCTTCCAGAAGGGTTTGGCAAGCTACAGGCCTTGGTTTTCCTGAACTTGGAAGGCAACAAATTTGAACATGTGCCAGAAACGTTGTCAGGTCAGTTCCATGTAATGAGAAATGAAAGAAAATGTTATGTTACAGGTTTCACCCAATGTTTTTTAAGAGTATATTTGTGTGCATCTTTTGTTAATCTTCAAAAAACATATATCTTCACTAGCTCATAGTGTCTCATATGTGAAGTCGTTCAGGAAGATGGATAAGGCAGAAAGTTAAGCCTGTGTGGTTCAAATGAATGACTTGTGTGAGAAATAGAAGAGTACTGTAAGAAGCCAGATAGCAGGAGCAAGTGTTCCCAAGTCTTCCTGGGTCTCAAACAATAAGTCAGAGAAAGCCTGGAGGGTTTTTGAAACAGCTGCAGTAAATAAATCCAAAAGGTTAATTTTCCTGTTGTCCTGAAAATGATCCTTTTTACGATTATGACTTGGCTTATATTGGAACAGTGGGAGTTGTGCCTGGTTCACCTGCAGTAAATTGCAAACCCTGTTGCTGAGGCTGATACTCTTAACATCTTGCAAATGTGGCCATGATGCTACTAATGGGGAGAAAGATGATACATTCAATGGGTTGATAGTCTCTTCTTGCCATTATTTTTTATTGTTTATAAAGAAGAAATGAATAATGGAGACATGGTATAAATAAGAGGCCTTTGGGCCCATTGTGCTTGTTTGCTTGTCTTAGTTTTTCAATATGTGATATTTCCCCCGAGATGTGGGATAATTTGTGTTGCCCTTCTTTCTAAGACTGTACAGTACAGTCCTTTATAAGGTATAGTGAGCAAAGCTGTACACAGTATTCTAAATGAGGTCTTACTAGTGTGTTGTAAAGTTTCTGCATACATTTCCGTGATTTACGTTTTTGTAATACCCAAGGATTCAGTTGTTTGAGCTATATGAGGTCATAGCTCTACAGTATTTACATAAAGGCCTAGCTTAAGTTGGTCTATTTACATTTAATTTACCAGGAAATTGTCCCAATTCCTTGTATGATTCCTTTTTCTAAATGCACTCTATTATAAAAATGGTCTAAACAGCATGATTTCTGGTTTTTAATTGATAGATGCTTCACATTTTATATACTGTGGTCAACATTTGCAAATATTCACACTCATGAGCTTTGATTAGTTTGAGTTAGTTTGTGCTGTTAAGAAAATGCATGCAAAAATGTAATATAGGAATACATTAGAATGGCAGTTATCAGATAATGACTCCACTACTGTTTGGAGGAGCCTTCAGACTATCACAAATTATAAACAGAAACCTCCCAACGTTATACTCGTTGTCATGACTCATCTCTGCCAGATAGACTGAACAGATTTTATTTTAGGATTCAAAAACAGAGGGTCGTTAATGATGGTCATAGTTCATGCATTTTGATGACCTCCTCAGATTCTAGTGCTAAATCTCCCTTGTTGCTCCTCTCTTCTGTTCTGCTCACATTGAGTTCTCAGCTTGCTCCTCTCCTCTTACTCCTCCTCTCATTATCAAAGAATGGGAAGTTCAGAAACCTTTTGGATTTCCAACTTTCTCATGAATAGTAGGCAATGAGTGTGGCTGTCCCCTTATTTGTCAGACTGTTTGTTAATACTGGTGTTCTTCAAGGATTTGTACTTTCCCCATTTACTCTATTCCTTGCATACCAACAACTGCGCCGCCGGCGACTCTTCTGTCAAATTAATTCAGTTTGCGGATGACATCACCCTTGTAAGCCTCATCGCTAACGATGATGAGGCCATGTACAAAGAAAGGGAGGTGTGCTAACAACCACCTGGAGCTTAATGCCCTTAGAACTGTGGAAATGGAGAATCCAGGAAAAAGTCTCCAAAACGTCTTTCCCTGGTAATCAATGATGTGGCTGTGAGTGTGGTGGACGCCTTTATGTTTTTGGGAATTATGATCTCTAATACCCTAAAATGGAACAAAAATATCACCAGTATCACAAATAAAGCATAGAATGTACTTTTTGTGCCAGCTAGAAAACTTTGGTGAGTCTCAACAATTCTAATACAGATTACAGAGCCATTATTGAGAGCATTCTGAGTGCATCTGTTTGGTTTGGCAACGCAACTGTTGACCCCAATGGCAAACTGCATAATGTTTTTTATTCTGTGGAGAGGGTCATTGGCTGTCATCTGGCCTCCATTGAAGATTTGTACAGTACAACGAAAACTCCACAGACGAAACGTTGTGTTTCCTTTCTGTTCTTTTTAACATGGAATAAACCTGTTACCTGTTTCTTTGCAACCTACACATGCTGACGCAGCTACCTACTTAAACAATAGTACAGTATGATGAGTAAGAAAGTTATTTAAGAGCTATGATGTAATACCAAGTCCCCTTGTGATGGGAAATATTTGAGTTCCACCTTGTTGTGTAACTACAGGTCTATTTCCTTAATTAAATACAGTAGATGAATGGTGCCCATCCACCCCCAACAACCTCCGTGCTTCACAGCAAGATTGTTGGACGGAAGTGGCTGAATAAAAATAGAATTTATTGCATTGTTTCTAGGAGTTGTAACTTAATGCTCCAAGCATCCTCTGCCTTTCCAAGAAAAAAAACATACTGTATATCAGTGTCTACGTGCTGTATCTTAGATACTTAGTAGGATGGGTTTTTCATTTGAATATACTGTATTTATCAGTTAGGTATAGTCACTTTTATATCGCTTTAATTTCTGCCCATCCTTCAACACCTCCTGATGTAGGAAATGGTATATGTAGATTTAGGTTTGTAGCATTAGCAAACCAAAGACTTGATATTAGAACCTTGAAGCTGAAGAGGAACAAGGAAATGTTTTAATTATGTGCCAGCTAGTTTACAGTATTTCCTGTTAGATCTGTATTAGAGTTTATACTTGTAAAAAATGAGGTTAATACAACTATTGATTTCATTTTTGCTACAGGTAAAATGTTATCAATTTATGTTATAATTGCTTAATATTTTTTATGTGCATAATAACAGCAGAATAAATAACAGGGAATAAACCCCCTTGTTTTGGAATTAATGAAAAAACAGTCCAGGCATTATAAACTATTTAAAAAGCATTATTATTTTAAGATGCGATGATACAGCAGTTACATACAGAGCAGCATCATCTCAGTAAAATGCGATGTGCTGTGTATGTAACCTTATATTACATTGCTACTACTGCATAAGCTTTGGTATCAATTATAGAATTACCTGTTTGGTGTGGTCTGCTAGCTCATTTTATCCTGCTTAAAGTAAATTAACTAAATCTACTTTCTAGACATGGTCAGTCTTCTTGCACTTTGTATGAAGTCCAACTGCATTACATCATTGCCAGATGACAGAATCCTTGGATTTACAAGACTGACTAAACTAGACCTGCGAGAAAACCCACTAACATTACGACCTGCTCATTGGAAGGTAAAAGTGCAAGCTATTTTTGCAAGCAGCTATCTTAATGAAACTTTATATAGATTTAACTTTCAGTTTTCAGTTGATGATATTCCATATTTCACTTTAGTGGGATAAGAATCTTACAAATAAATGTGTTTCTGGAACACCTATATACTGTACAAGTATTCTCATATTCATTCTTGGATATTATATTTCTCTATTTAATACCATAGCACAATTTTTTATGAAGTGATCTAAACTAAATCTTATGCAAAATAAGTGAAGTGGATAGCAGAGAAAGCCTACATATTCTGTCCTTGAGTATTATCAACCTTTATAAATAATACTTTTTGTGTTTGTATGATTTTTACATACTGAGCCCCCACCATTAATTCAAAATGTAAATATGAAAAGTGTTTTGTTCTTCTTGGAGATCTAAAATATACAATCGGAATATAATATTGTTTTTAAGTTAAGTGAGTAAAATATTTCATTTTTAATTACATTAATTTTACTAACGCTCTGAATTATCCTGGATTACAGAACCCCCTCTCAGTTAATTCTTTTATTACACTACTGCATTCTCTAATAACTAACAAATGTGTGTTCATTTCCATCTTCAATTCTGATTTTATTTTTTATTTATTTTGTAGTGTCCTTCCATAATAACATGAACACCTTAGATTGTGAACAGCTTTAAGCACCTGCTTTTACCTGCTAAACAACCACATTCAGAAAGTCCTGTACATATTTATAACTGGTAACATTCACTTTGGCACTACAAAACTTCAGCTCATGAATTAAAAGGCTTGTGCATTACAATTGGTTTACAGATCTTGTCATACTGGTTTATGGAGGTTGTTCATTCCCCCACTCCCAGCAAAACTGGTTGTTAAGGTACTGCATGTGGCGCCATCTTCCGGCAGAAAGATATTCTTTACTGCACAATGAACGTCCTATTGGTATAGCTGTAGAAAGGTTTCTAACAGGATTCTGAGAAGGCCCTACAGCTTCAGCTGTTGATTTATGAATGCCTCTTGCCACGTTCCGTTTGATGTCTTCACAGGGTTAAACACTGCATGATGCCATAGGACGTGCTGTGTACTTCGGTTGTATTATTTGATTATTGTTCTTTCATAACCTGAGTCATTTATATTATTAAGAGAGGTCACTCTATATTGTGGAGTTTCATTTGACAATTTATTGAATGTACTTTCATGAAAGAAGCAGTTTTTTTCAAATTATTTTTCCAGCTCACAAGCTACAAGATCAAAATACCACATTCTATGCCCATTTGCAGGAAACCTTCAGACACCACTCACTTTAACCCGTAATAAAACATACTGTTTTTTTTTCTTTAGGGACTGGATTTCATTTTACTGGGATGTGTAAAAAAAACAGAAGCAGAAGATACCATGGAAGCTAACCCAGCAGAAATAACCCTATAATGTGAAGAATCAGACAACTGGAGTGTCGAGATCTCAAAACTCACGATTCAATGTGTGATTTCCCCGAACTTTCATGGAAAACCCTAAAGTGTAGTCTCAAAATCTGTAAAATTAACAATCTTTCCCCTGGCTTGTAAAACATCAGTCTTCTTGTATTAGTGTAATGGTTTACACTACATCTTAATAATTTCACATTTTTCTGTATATCATGACTTACTTTGAAACTGTACTTTGATAGAGTTTCAATTAGTGGTCAGTTAGTGCTGTTAATACATTTGTCATTTCTGTTTTTAGATTTGAAAGTAAATTTTTCACTATGTGCTTTGCACACAGAATATCCAGCATGTCCAGGAAGGAAGTCAGCTAACTCTCCTGAATATTTTTTCAGTTGATTAATAAAAAGATATCCTGTAAAAGTGAAAGAAACCATGTGTCATTTAATCTTTATGAGCTCTTCTGAGTTCACTGTTACACAGCGATGATGCTGTCAAATATTCTATAGAAGTTCAATTCTCAAGGGTCTGATTAAGTCTTGGAAAGATTTTCCACGGTGTTAATTGCTGTTCCAGCATAATTAATTTACTTGTCATTACAAAGAAATTATAGTTAATTAAAACAGGAAATGTTTTTGGATACTACTGCATATTTTAATATTCTTACCTGTGAACATATTATTGATTGGATAATACTGAGGGTTACAGCACAATGGCATGTCCCTTTGTGGATTTTTAATTCCACATGTCACCTGCCTTTTACAAAAGACATAATTTAGGTTCACAACATTAAATACAGTATACTCAAACAAATGACATTTTTTTAATCACTAGCAATGTAGCAAAAATTATTACTATAAACATAAAGTTGTATTATACATACATCTAATTCTGTTTTGAATTTGCCATGTCTTTCACAGTATAAGAAACAGGTTATCATTGTAGAGCAAGTTTCACTTAGCACGTTTTGGTAAAGAGGGACCTCTTGTGGCAATATGATGAGTCCAACTGGGACAAGGCTGTAATAATATCACAAAAATAACAGAGTTTAGACCTGACATTAAGACAGATTACTTCAAAGTTCATCTACTGTACATACCTTATTTTATTGCTGTCTTTTTTAAGGCTGTCCTTTCCTACGCTGTGGTACTCTTTATCCTTCTGTTTTTCCATCTGGATTATTCTGCCACATGGCAACTTTTATGGACAAACAGAAATACATCTGTAAAATGCTAAAACACATCCACATGAAGGAAAGCTCTATGCTCTAACGAAATAAACTGTTACATATTAAGCACAATGGGCATCTCTACAGGATAACTGGATGATTACATACATATTCCAAAAATCATACTGTAAGATTAAACCAAAGATATACAGTAAATCACCACACATACACAAATAACATACATCCATAAAATAAGTGAAGATTTGAAATACTATAGAAAACTACCTGTTTTGTACTTTGATTGTCCTCTTTCTCCCAAATGAAACTTCCCACTGCTGCTTTCACTTCTGAAATTATTGATAATTTTGTAATTACTTTTATAGTATTGGTTTTTAAGATTATATATTAGAGCAATTTTAGCATATTTCACAGGGGACAGCATTGTGGTTCAAAGTAATGTAATGATTTTACACAGTGAAGTCCAAAAGCCATACCTGAGCCACAGCAGCTCACATCAGACCAGAGCTCATTCTGGTTTCTGTTGGGTTAAGAGGACTAGAGAGCAAGTGACTCCTCCCTAGACAGGACACCACTCCACCACAGGGATCACCCCTGTCATGCTGGTCCCCTCTGGTACAGAAGGGTGGCCTGGAGCCACAGGGGTAAAGTACTTCACTCAAGGTACAACTGCAGTGTCTGCAGTAGTGACTTGAACCCACAGCCTGTCAGTCATGGGTTCAAAGGCTTACCTGCTATATGCAGTGAAGGTGATGGTAATTATATGTATTTCAATGTGCAAAGCTTTTATGCAGAGCATTCAGTTCACAAGTAAGGAAATAACATGACTGTTTTTCTGTTGCTTTTTACTAAACCCACAAATATAAAAGGGTGGCATTCATAAAAATGTACAATCGGCCCAATACGAAGTGTAAACAGCAAGACCTACAGTAGAAGATCTGACACTGTGCATGCTCTTTTTAAATAAAGTTGTTTCAGCTATAATTTGCCATTAATTGATTTTTATTTTTTTTCTTGTAATAGAGGACACTTTCATAGAGGTCAGTATGGAGCATGTATGTGATTTTGTGGCAAATATTAAGAGAAGCAAAAATAAAACAGGATTTTTTTTCTCAAATTATATCAATTAATCAACTGTTAGAATAGAAAGCAGTTCACTTGCACTGCAAGAAGAATTGTTGTATTTCTAGTTAAAAGTATTTTAGACATTTTTTCTGACCTTTCTGAACAGAGGAAGGTGGAAGAACGAAGTGGCCCACAGACACAGCTACCTTGTTTCTGTTCTTCTCACAAGCAGACAGATAAGAGGCGTGAAAAACTGTCAACCTGTTTTTAGAATAGTCCAGACTCTCATATAGCCTAAACCAAAAAAAATGCTACATGAAATACATGCTACATGAAAACAGTTACAGTATATGTGCCCGATGTGACTTAGTATTACTATTAAGGTTTTATTTAATTATAATTATTAAATAATTATATTTATTTTGTTGTAATTATTACAAGTATTCTCAAAATTATTAAAGGAAATATTGGTATTTGTAACCATATACAACACAATGTACTGTTTATAGTCTGTGTATAGACTGATACTTCAAAACAATTTTGCAATTATTTTTAAACCTGTAACTTTAAATGAAAAGATAATTCGATATTTCAGAGCGTTATGGACTTTTTTCCTGTGTATTATGTTTTTTACTGTGTAGAAAAATCAAAACGATTGTCTTTAGGTGGGAGAATAAACGTTTGTTACCGATGAGTGTCTGGATGAGATGCGTCTTTACTGAAAATGTAGTCTGCTGTTGTCCAGTCTGTAATAATGCCACCTTCAGACACTGAAATTTAAAATTCACTGTCATGCAAAAAATATTTTTTCACACTGATATGAACGTTTCTAATTTAATGGTTAACATTTATTAGACCACATTATTACTCTCCTAAGATAATTATACTATACTATCTCTAAACCAAGATAAAATGGTTTTAACATATAAAGGATATTTTAGAATTCAGTTTGAAAGGAGCTTCATTGTGGCTTAGTACAGGAAATTTTACATTGCTTTTTAAAAAAACAAATACATTTATAGTCAAATATAATGGTTGTTTTCGCAGTGCAGCTCCTCAATCCCCTGGAATAATGAGTTTCACTACCTAATTGATGATGCATGGGACATGTATTAACTATAAATTACAATTTTAACTTACTCCACATATCGCAGAAACGTCTGGGGACACTTTGGGAAAACCAAGCTTTTCTATCTTTAAACATCCCGAGCTGTAGTGTAACCCTTTGAAAAAATGTTTTCGTTTATGAAAACTATAACACGTTGGTTCACAACAAAGAGTGACACCAAATACAAACTTTACTGAACGGTTTTCATTGTCCTTTGTCAGGGAGCACTCAGCTGACCAGACGTCTTTCTGAAAGGTTTGTTTCACGGGTTTTAGATTCGGGAACCTGAACAACAACAACAAAAAAGGCAAAACTTATAAAAAATAATTTACATGTACAGCTTCAATCAGAGATAAACCACAGACATGAGAATTTGCCCGTTCAACATGGGGCTATAACTCCGCTAAAACCCGCTATAACATACAGTATATCGGATAGAGGAAATGTATTTTCCACTGTTCCCACCTCATAAAAGGCGATTCTCATTTTCTGCCGCCAGAAATAAGCTTAACACGTCTCTTTTTTCCGGTTCAAACGTTGAATTTGATAACCATTGAAAATATAGATCCATCATGGACAAAAATGTTTTAAATGTTTTTTTTTTTCAATTGAAGTTGAACCTACCCTAAGTTTATCAGATTTGTGGGAGATTTTTGTTTTCTGAAGAAATTAAAATGAACTCCTCTATAACTGGTCCGGATATGTTTTTAAGGTCAACGGTGTTCGTCGCGCTCGCCTCGTGCACCGACAGACCACGTGAATCGCGGGCGCGCGGGAGGCTGATTGAGCCTTCCGTTCAATTAATATCAGTTATTCAGAAGCGAGAGGTAACATCTTTCAATACTCAATATTGTTTTTATATTTTTAACATTGAGCTATATGTTTTCTATACCCATAAAATCCCTGCGAAATGTAAACCTTATGATTGTCTGTCCCGCGATTCCTGCCTCTTTTTCATAGAGACGGAGCGGTTCCTCAGCGTTTAGCTGCTCCACATACGAAGCTACATTTTCAAACTTCACACGTGGTCCACATACTGCATCTCTATGGTAAGTTTTTTTTAACAAGTTAATATTTAACTAAGTCATTATTCATTTATGTATAGCCTACTATATACATGAATGAAGAGGGACGGTGTTAAATTGAGGACATGCTCCTACGAATTTATCGTATAAAAGAGACGCAGCATCGTTCAGGCCGGTAACAACAAAGAAGTCAGGTCAGTTATGAAGTCTGTTAAACTACAGCAGGGATTTCTCGTGAGAAATGGCACTCAGTAGGTATACTGGTGTATCCCTTAATTTTCGTGATATGCACATACTTTTTGGAATAGGGTAGCATTGTTTAATTTTTAATGCCACCCTCTGAAAGCATTTTAAATTGTGCATCCTCTGGTCTGTTAATTCCAGCGAAATTGGCATGCATTCAAATATTTGGGCGCATTAAAAATTATTCAAAGTAGTTCCGTCGTGGGATCCGGTGTTTTGATGCATCCCTTAGGAAGGACTGTCCTGAAATGATTTAAAACCATCTGTTGGATTTTAACTGTTGCGAAACCGGCATCATTCGTTTGACTTTGAAGGCGACGCAGTAATTTTCAGAAGAGAGATACTATGCTGTTGCAGGAAAACGAAAAACGCTTTTACATTCGCACTTCTCCCCCGACACAAACTTATTTCAGAGAGCGACGTGCGGCTGTATTCCTCTCTACTTCTGTTAAATGCCCACGGTGAGATTTTAAATACTGTAAATAAATGTAACCGAACGATCTCCCCTTTGCTATTGCATTTTCATTGCGCTCTGTACGGAATCGACGTGTGTGGAAACGCAAAGATCGACTTGGCAGCGAGGTAGATTGCTGTCGAGGGGGGTTGACTTGAAGGTATATCCATTAAGTATATAGACCCCATATGTTTCTCAAACGCCAATTACCTAACAACCTGTTCTCCCTTATGGTTGTGGATTGGGCCCAGCACGTGCCCGCGGAGATTATCACCGTCGGCTGCCGCGGGGAGCTCCCGAGCTCGAGCCCTCCAAGGATCAGCCTCCACAATATTAATCCCATTGTGCTCGTCTGGCATTAACTCGGCTCTCCGCTTTGTTATTAAAATCCCGCTGTACAGCAAAGAAAAAAAAATACTCAGTACACCACCGACGCGATAGTATCGACGCCTGTGTCAGTGTGTGAAATTCTTGGATTCCTTTTTTCTCTAGATGCGGAACGGAAACTGTCCAAACACTACGGTTCTGAGTGAAGAAATACCGCAGAAACATCCTCGTGGGCTCCTTTCTGGGACCCTGTCCCCAGTTGATAAGGTAAATATTCATCATTCTTCTTTACTTTGAATTTGCTTGAGAGCCACCAATTGGTTTCTTTTGGTGTGTTTGTATCTGAAAGTGAAGACAAAATGAAATGAAAAGATGATACATTATAATCATATTAACAGATTCATTGGTGCCAGATTAATATAATATTGTGTAAAGATGGACCCTGGCAAAGAAAAGAAGATGTTCGCAGTAATAGATTACATTTTGCATGGTACTGAGTTCAGTAGACCTACCACGCTGCAGAAGGAATACTTTTGTGGAACTGTTGTGGGATACACTGTGGTCTTTAATTTGATCAAACAGGTACTGTGATCTCTGGAGGTGGACCTAAGGTGGTATTTGGCTGATCTAGAAACAGCTGCCTTTGTGAATGTGGATGAGGAAGTGTTGCCCACAGCTAATTTTTTGACAGCGGTGGATGTGAATCTGAAAATCTTGTCTGTCACCACCGCAGGAAGACAAAATATGGCAGAACAGGAGACAAATCAAAACAAAGCCGTCTACGTGTGGACCCGTAGTTGTTAACAGTCTGTAGTGGGCTAATTACAGGGTTAATCCTCTTAGAGGCTGTAACCACGGAGCTCACTTTGTGCCCGGTCCAGACTGTCCTGTGCTGCAGATGTAATAGCTGGGGGATTGGAATCCGCTCCACCGGCTCTTGCGCTTGGGCAAAACTATGTGCGTTTCCCCCTTCGGACGCGGCGTGGAAAAGGCTGTGAACGGAGCTGGCTCTCTTCCCCCGCCCCCCCGCGGCACCTCGAAATGTTCGGCAGCGCAGCCCGGATGTGGTTCGGCCGCAGGCAGGCGACGAGGAGGGGGAGGGAGAGCACCGGCGAGATCCTGAGGAAGCACCGGGAGAGGATCCTGGCGGAGCTGGACGCCAGCGCGGCGCTGCCGGTCCTGCTGGCCCGGGAGGTGCTCTCCCCGGGGGAGTGCAGGGAGGTCCTGGGGCGCGGGGCCGGCAGGGAGAGGGGGGAGGTGCTGCTGGACCTGCTGGCGGTCAGGGGTCCTGACGCTTTCTGCGCTCTGTGCTCCGTCCTCGAAGAGGTGTGTCCTCATTTGCTTACCTGTTTTCTGCTGGACTGCACAGGTACGGTCAAGGATTGAACCCTCTGATGCATGCCCTTGAGCCTGATTCGGTCGGGTGTTTTGGGACGTGTCCTGTCTGGCTGTGATGACGCAGGGGACAGTCTAGGCTGTTCTTGTGTCTCTGTGTGTGTATTTGTGCCCGTTTGTGTTTGTTTTTTAATTGAACGTGCTTAAACCTGCCAGTGTTTCCAGGCTTACCTATCTAATCTGACCTCTGCAAAGCCTTAAAGTGGCTTAACTACAGGCATGTGAATTTAATCAATACAGAAACATTAGGTGTTTCTTTCTAAATACAACAGTGAAGGACAACATATTTTGAACTGTTACGGCTGAGTTATTGCAAGTGACATTCACTGTAAATTGAACGGCTTATGGAAAACATGCAGGGTTGTGACGCCACATTGACATTTTCAGTGTTTTGAACTAAGAACACACGAGATATAGTAAGTTTCATGCTAAAAAAGGTGAGAGAAACCTAATCGAAAATCTGAACATTCCAGAGCATGTTTCTTTCTACAAAACAGTAATAAGCTAAACTGTTGTTTTAGGCACAAGGAAGTGAGATGTTTTAAATATCGATTTGCAAATGTATGATTTCTTTATTGCATGATTTAGAAGAGTAACACTACTAACAAAAAGTAAAATGGTCACATTCCTTCCAGCAAATGCAAGAATGCATTTCAAATAATTGAACACAATTGACCTGTAGAGAAAATAATTTGTTCTTTGTCACACAATATTTCAGGAATCATTTTGTGTACAGTAAATGAGTGTATTTGTCTTTGATGGATTGCTGTTCACATTTTGCTCCAGATTTATTCTGCCTCACCATTATACCACCTGTGAAATGATTAAACAATCCCATTAATATGCTGTCCTTGCCGCTGTAATCTTGTGCCCAGTCCGTGGATTGGATTAGTTCTTGACCAAGCTCTCAACCGGCTGCCATTGTCTGGTCTAAGTGCTGTGCAGTTTTAAGATGACAAATGTTGCTCTGTTGGTTACACATGTATCAGAGATGGGTTTCACGATAAGGCAGTGTGTTGGGAGTCCCTTTCTGCTGGGTGACTGAATACCTCATTGATACCGCACGACATGGGCAGGCAGTGTAAATCTGTGTGTTCAGAGAAACAATGCAAACACAAAAGTTGCATTTCTGTTCTTGTGAATGGAGGTATTGATTGATAGATAGAGATAACAGAAGCTGTCACTCTTCTGTTTAAGGTTAGCATATTTAGTGTGCTAGACTTCATTCCCCCAGTGTGTACTACACACCTGTGAGGTTTTGGCACATACTATGTATTAGCCTGCAGGTTTGATAATAGTCCTGTCATAAGCAATTAAGATGCTTTTAGAAGTTTTATTATTAAACAAATATAAGAAAATCACTTGTACATCTGTGTTTCCGCCATCCAACCAGCTGCACTGTTAACAGTGTTTCTTAATTGGGGAATACTGCTTTTGGGCCATACGGTACTAATGAATTATTGAGATGCACACCGTCAGATCAGTGAAACTGTCAGGATTCAGAGGAACACAGCTGAGGTTTCAGATACCTCCAGAAGGTCCAAATGAAGTGTGTGTGTGCTGGGGAATGGGGCTTTATGGCATTTGAGTGCTTTAGTGTTTGAAATACTGCCAAGGGCTGGCGTTGCATCCAACGTGTACCTTGCCTTGCCCCAGTGCCTCCTGGGATAGCTCTGGGTCCCCTGCGACCCTGATCTAGAAATTGGATGAAGCAGTTAGAAAAGGGATGGATAGATGTATAGATATGTACAATAACAGTGTTACAGAAGATGAAGAAGTCTATTTCAGTCACTTTAAATGGCTGCTGCTGCTGCTGTAAGCCATTGCTAAACGTATAATGCAGTGTTTACGGCTATAAGCCACTGTTTCAAACTAAGAGCGTGCAGAAAATAGCCCTCTGTGAGCCACTGCTCTGAACAGATTACTGGCTAGCCAGGGCTATGGACTGGGGAAGCTACTGTGGGTCGGCCTTCTGCTGGCTTGAGATTTAATCCTGGACTGATGATGGGTAGCAAGGGACCTGCTTCCCTTGAGCAACTTGTTTCTTTGCTGCAAACTTACTTTATTTGTTTTGTTTCTGTTCTTCTTTGTTTCACCTCTGAAACCTTTTTCTGCCGGGCGCCAGCCTCCTGTCACTCCCAGCCCAGAGTGCAGAGGTATTCTGGTTCCGTCAGTTCTGAGAGATTTCCGCGCTTGGTACCGTGTGGATGCTTGTGCTAGGAGGCGGGTAGCAGTACTAATACTGAAGCAACCCGTCGGGGCGGATGACAGGGCAGGCTCTGAAAAGCACATGCACTTTCTTATGCATTAGGAAGCACCGACCGATTCTCCCACTAAGAATTCTGTAAGGTTCGGTTTTCAGACCAGACCGAAAACTGGGATGCAGTCCAGTGTTTTAAAACCCTGCGTATTTCTGAAATGGACAAGGGAGAAGGGGGTGTATGCGTCTCATCAAGTCCGTCTGCACCTTTCTGCGTACTGACAGCTCAGACTCCACTCGGCAGGAAGGGAGGAGGCAGGAGCACGTGACACAGGGGCTAAAGCACCTCACGCTCGGTGAAACTCTTCCCGTTTCAGGCAGCGTTCCCGCGGGGACGACTCCGGCGGCGAAGCCCAGGAAGGAGGAAGGCAGGATGTCGCCCCACAACCAGGAGCCTTTCCAGCCGCGGGAGTGCGGAGCGATACAGCCGCCGCCTCCTCCTCCCGCCACCGCGGCGGGCGAGACCTCCTGTGACCCCAGGTAATCGCTCCCGGGGATCGCCGCGCTCCCGCCAGCAGTGCAGTCAGGCATGTGCGCGGGCCCGCGGCGGGGCCTTGCCGAGCTCCGCGCGGGGCAGGGGAGGCTGCCCCCCCCCCCCCCCCGACCACCGTGCTGTCGTTGCGCCCCTGGGAGCGGGGCCGTTCGTCATGCCGAGGCGCCTCGTTCCCGCTGGGGAGGGATCTTACCTGGATGCTGGCTCTGCCAGCTCCTCTGTTTTGCGCCGCCTCCTGTCACAATGCTGACTCAGTGCACTTTTTTCTCCTTCCTGCACGTTTGCCATTGTCTCAGGGAGCTGGGTTGCTTGCAGTCTAGTATCCATTAGTTCCATTGTTCCGGCCTGTGTCGCCGGTGCTTCCCGATGACTCTTGCACGCCGGCGAGAGGCATGACTGCCTCCTGATCGCTTCCATTCACACTCTCCCCTCCCAGAGCTGCTGCTCGAGCCTGCTCACAGGAAACATCACCTTCAGCGCACGCTGCGCTCACCTTATCGTGCTGTAGATAAGGTAAGGCTGTCATGTGCTAGGCATTTAATTTGCATGATGGATTCGGACTTAAACGATTGATGGGTGTATTTTTTGAAAATGCAGCGCTGGGTTTGGGAGCGTAAATATATTTTTTTTTACCAAAAATAGACTCATTGTTGAAAAAAAATGAAGTGCACATTGCATTTTGTTATTTGATTGTGGAATGCCTTGCAAATGCAGTTTTTTTAATATGAGTGTCCTGAAGGCTTATTTGTGTTTTGGAAACATTACTGGTGTATGTGCCGTATGCAATTCTATAATTTACTGTTGTAATATGTAATGCAGCATGTTTTAGGGTATCTGAGGAAAGCAAGAGGTGTTCTGTTTCCACTTTCTTTAAAATTGCTAGAGGATTGCAATGAATTAGAGGCAGTTTTCATAATAAAGGCAGGATCTGTTCTGGGTTCAAAGTTTTACATTTTCCCTATTGTAAATAGCTTGTGTGTGTAAATCTTTAAATTAATTTTATTAGTTGCAAAGAATTCATAGTGTATACTGGCATTTTGTTGTTGTACTCCTTAATGCATGAAATCATATCTTGAAAGAAACATAGCTGTTCTAATGCTATTTAATAGGATAGCATAGCTATAGAGATTCAATTTCTTTCTTGAGTTATTTTTGGAATGTGTATCGTTTTAAAACGTTTTATCTTCAACCACTAGGTGGAGCTGTAGGCTGTGATTTGGCTGAATATTTAACATGGCGTGACAGAACGTGTCAAAATAAATACATGACCTTGTGTTTTAAGATCCAGTTCAGCGTGTTATATACATAAGTAGAAATTGTGTAAAATGTTGTTTGCTGTTGTTTATTTTTTGTTCTAGTCAGTGTTCACAACTTAACTGTGAATATTTTAAAAGGTGTTTTAGATTTTGGAAATGTATTTGTTTTAATCTGGTGGCACTCGCATGTGAGTATAGGACCTAGTATTACTTTTTTTTGTGACCAAACCTTGGGCTAGCAGCAGCAGGAATTAACCAGCCGCTCAGACCTTTCACTGTAGAAATCAATCACTGAACACATCTCTGCATGCATTCTTCATCCTGGTGGAGCTTAATCAGTAATAAATCAAAGAATGTTTCAAATTAGCTATATTTATCAGCAATCTAAATGTGCAAATAATATCTGCCAGTCGAATTCAGAAAAAATGTTGCACTTTGTGTTGCAACGCAAATGTCAGCAAACCAAACTTGGGGACCGAAACGTATGCGTGCAGGACAAGCATTTCTTCAGGATGATGTATTTTTGACATTTGTAGCTATAAAATTATCTTATTCCCGCAAGCAACAGGCACAAGGCAGGATACACCCTGGATGGGCACACACTCTCAGCAGGGCCAGTTTTCCCAGAAGCCGGGTGTCTTTGGACTGTAGGAAGAAACTGGAGCAACTGGAGGAAACCCACACTGACAAGGGGGCTAACCTACAGACTCCACATACAGTCGATAGCACCCCAGGTCCAGAACTGATCCCAGGGACCTGACACTAAGAGACAGACATTTTAACCCCTGCACCGCCATGCAGCCCCTATTTATGATCAACAAACTGAAATATCATTTCAGTGACTTAATGATAGTTTAAAACAAGCTTTTTCACAGTCACCCAGATGTATAGTGTTCCAAAGAAACACATTTTGTAGCCTAAGATCCTAAAAATCAAGACACATCAAAACCAGAATTTGTTTAGTGAAAAACAAATGCTCAAGACATCCTCAAAAGTAATTACAAACAACAACCTGCAAAAACAGCCTGGATAAGTTTACATACCCCTCAATAATGGCAATTGTAAATGAGCTCTGGTGTAAGCAATTGCCTTCCTGATCAATCAACTGTGGAAAAAATGTTCTGCCTATATGACAGCTGTGAAGACTTGAGTTTCACATTAAAATGAAAATTGGTGCTACTGTAGTTTTTATATAAAAATACCATTATAGTATCAACATGGCTAAAGAAATTCGACCGTATGTCTAAAAATTTATGTGATCTTGAAATTGTCTAAAAAGAGCCAGTAAAACAGATTAAGTGGAATCTGCAGGGTATTTGATATTTGTGTTGTGATTTATTTGCCATACTTACTCGCCATCTAGCTTGGGTGCATATCTCGCAAGCCCATCTGTAAATTAAATTACAATTAATCTGAGGTGAGTGGAAAACTAGGCCATTCAACGGACTCGCCTGGTTCGGCTGGCCATCAATCTTGTGGAAACGTTGCAAAGAGAAGACGAACCTTCTTAGCCTGCATTAACTCCAGTTCTCAGAAACCTTATTAAATCTAGCTGAAAAGCAGTCAACAGTTCGTTGACAGCGGGAGAATTGAGGTTGGAAGTCGTGCAGAGTTTGTTGTGCGTGAAGTCTTAATTTTGCCGAGTGATTTATGAGATGATATATTATGTGGAGAGCAGCTGTGTGTGTGCCGTGGCCCGTGTTTTAAAAGCTGGTCATCTGGGCGTTTCAGTTAACCATGCCAGATTTTCACAACGTGATTTCCTGGAGCGCTTGCTTGGCTAAAGCTTTGTCCCGTAAGACACTGCTGCCCGATTTCCAGTCTGTAAGAACACAAACGGCCAAAATGAATCTGTGATCGCAGCTGTTCTTGCTGTTGCCATTGTTGGGAATATTCTCGCGGCGTTAATCCTGTTTAAGTCCTAGTATTGCACAGATTGAATTTCTGTGCTGTACAATAAATGTCATGGCCTGGACCAAGAAATCATACATCTGTAAACTGTCCACGTTGTTTTACATTGGACCTTCGGTTGTGCGATGTCCAGCAAACACTACATCAGTCCCTTCTCACACTAAATCTTAAATATGTGTAGCTGTCAAGGGAGCAGAGTTCAGTCTTATTTACAGTCAAGGTAAAGATGGTTGTTGCAGTAATTCAAAAATCAATCCAGGACCTTTCCAGCACGAGTTCACATTACAAATTTTACTTCCCTTGGAAATTCACTTGGGACAGAGGAACTGATTCTATGTGCCTACAGGGCATGTGGCTCAACTCCCAGTATTTAGATCCAGTCACAGAATGACCAACGGTCTATGCATTCATCTGAAAAACAAATGTTTTCTAAAGGTTAGTTCAGGAGCAGGCAAGAAAAACGGTCCACAGGCTCATGTGGGATTAGGACGGAATGCCTCACCATCAGAATCCCCCCTGAAAG